AGCCTAATGTTCTCTCTTCACCTCTCCCCTACACACTCGAATCCTTAAAATGCTGTTTTTTCTGTAGCAAAAGTGAATCCTTCATTTGGACAAATGTCTAAGAGACAAAGTGAATCTGATTTATTAATGTATGCTCATTTGAAAGCTTTCACATTTTTAAATTACAAGCATGGGTTTAAAAATTTGTTAGAATTTTAAGAATTGGTTAGGATTTTTCCTTGTGGACTTTTAGGAAGTTGGGAATATAGCTAGCTGTTTTAGGGATCTTCTTTGTATATTGATTTTTTGATCTGAATAATGCCGAGTTTTCAGAGCAAAGAATTCTTGGCCATCTCAAAAGGCCTACCTCCCAGGACACAGGACTGTTAACATCAGAGGTTTTGAAGACAATCACTGACATGCTGAACATTTTGCAACTAATTTGCATACACTAATTTTTTTCTCATTTTTTTATTGTGGTAATATGCATATAACATAAAATTTACCTCTTACCCATTTTTAAGTGTACAGTCTAGTAGCATTAGATGTGTTTGTAATGTTGTGCAATCATCACCAACCTCCATCACCATAAGTCGTCTCATCTTGTAAATGTGAAACTCCATCCCCATTAAACAATAACTCCCAGCCCCCCACCCCACCCCCAGCCTCTGGCAACCACTAGTTTACTCTCTGTCTCTATGATTTTGGTTACTCTAAGTACTTCATATCAGTAGAATCATGCCATATTTATCTTTTTGTGACTGGCTTATTTCACTTAGCATAATGTCCTCAAGGTTCATCCATGTTGTAGCACATGTCAGAACTTCCTTCCCTTTTACAGCAAGTAATATTCCACTGTATGTATATAAGCACATTTTGCTTATCCATCTGTCAGTGGACATTTGATTGCTTCCATGTCTTGACTACTATGAACCATGTTGCTATGAACATGATTGTACAAGTATCTTTTCTCCAGATCTTGCTTTCGGTTCTTTTGGCTATCAACCCAGAAGTGCAATTGTTGGGTCATGTGGTAGTTCTATTTTTAATTTTTTGAGGAACTGCTGTATTGTTTTCCACAGTGACTGCACCATTTTACGTTCCTGCCAACAGTGCCCAAGGGTTTAGCTTTCTCCACATCCTCACCAACGCTTGTTGTTTTCTGTTTTTTTGGATAATAGTCATCCTAAATATGTGTGAGGTGGTACAAATATTGTCATTTCCTGATTGTTTCCATTGATTTTATGAACAGTTCTTCTATGACAGTAGCATCTGACAGAGTGACCTCTCATTCTTGTCCTCCTGGTGTTTGTAACCCACACTCCAGTACCTTTCTACTCATCAAGTCACTCCTCTATCTCAAGCCCAGGCTGTTGCTCTGTCCTGCATACTGATACTAATATATCCAGTAGTAACCACTTGGTTGTCTCAGAATCATTTCAGACTTTAACACAAATACTTGATCTTCTCTCCTCCAAAGAATCTTCCTGCTCCTCCAGTTTTTCTTCTCAAACGGAAACCTAGAGCCATTCTTAATATCTCTCTTTCTCTACCACTTACCCAAGCAAATTATAAGTCCTATCCTTTCTATCCCCCAATCTATTTCTATCTCCAGAGCCAACTTTTAGAGTCCAGGTCACCCTCGGTCTTGTCTCTTGGCTGGTCTTGCCATTTCCACTTTAACCTCACTTCAGTCCATCCTTAGCACAGCGGTTTTTCCAAAGAGCCATTCTGTCTCTCACTGCTTAAGAATTATTGAAAGAATTATGTCCAAACTCTCTGCTTTGGCATCTTAATCCTTTATAACTTGCCCCCAGGGTATCTCTCCAGCCCCAAATAGCTTTATTCTCCAACAGTACCATATGCTTCAGTCTACACATAGAGTGCTCCAAATGTGCTTTGGCACATATTACTTCTACCTAGAGCACCCTCTTCTCCTTGGGCCATCTAGCAACCACTGCTCCTTCCCCTTGCTGTCTTCATTGGGCTAAAGCTGACTTTATCCTTCAAGGTCCACTCTGGCATCTCTTTTCAATGAACCCTCCCCAAGCCTGGGATGGGTGCTGTATCAGAACTACATTCAGCTCTAACAGAAAAGCCACAATGTCTTAAACACTTGGATGTGTTTTGTGTTTTTTCTCGCATAAGAAGTGCAATGATAGGCAGTCCAAGGAAGGTACAGGTCCTCAAAGACCTAGGCTCTGCCAGTCTTTCCACTCTCCATTCTTAGTATGTTGGCTTATCACAAGGTGGCCACTACAACTTTGGACATTGTCCATATTCAAAGAAGGAAAAAAAGAGAGTGGGTGGAGATAGCTATGTCTGAACCTTTTACTACAAAAGCAAAAACTTTTCCCTTCTCACTAGCCAAAAATAGATCTCATGACTGTCCCCTAGCTGCAGTGGCTGGGAAACCAGGAAAGGTGATTTGTCATGGTTGGCATAGAACATTTTGGCCCCAAACCAAATCAAGGTTTTATCAGCATGGAAGAAGTCAGGACTGGGTATTGTGAAAGCAACTGATTCTGCCTGAGAATGGTGACCTTCCCTGTGCTTGTCCCTGTAGTAGCAATATAATACTGTCACTACAAAGTAATATAGCAGCATCTGTCATTAGATTATAAATTGATGTGGGCAGGGACCGTGTCCTGTTATTCTTTGTATCCCTAATGCCTGACACATACCTGATACAAAAGAGTTGCTCAATAAATATCAATTACACAAAACAACAGATGAATGTATATGTGTATTTAACACATTTTGAGTTAAATTTCCAAGTGTCTGTGACAGTTGACTATTAAACAATGCAAATTTGAACTGAAGGGGTCACTTAGACGTGGCTTTTTTCCCTTCCAATAAAATCAGTATAGTACTGTAAATATATTTTCTCTTCCTTATGATGTTCTTTTCTTCCTTAAGATTTTCTTTCTAACATTTTCTTTTCTCTAGCTTGCTTTATTATAAGAATACAGTATATCATACATATAACATACAAATTATGTATTAATCAACTAGTTATGTTATCAGTAAAGCATCCAGTCAACTGTTGGCTATTAATAGTTAAGTTCTGGGGGAGTCAAAATTTACGCACAAATTTTCACTTGCTCCACACAACTCCATTGTTGTTCAAAGGTCACCTGTACATACCTAGGGAGTAGTTAGGATTTGCTGCACTTCTTACTGCTGCTACCTAGACTTTTCTGCCAGAAGACTCTGAAAAAGGTTTGTTGTTTCAGTTTCAAAATTGCATTTTGGACTTTGAATAATATACATGTAAAGACAAATGACATTTATGTTTAGCAAATGGTATTTGTAGTCACATTGTGATTTTTATTTTTCTGTGACTTTTATTTTTCAGAACTGTAATAGAAATTGTTATTAAAATGTCTATTGCAACAATTCATAACCCTGTTTGCTATTTAATGATCTGGGTCTATTATCTCAACAAAATCATTTAATTTAGACCCAGCTGTTAGGACACAATTTCTTGGAGGCAGTATCACTCAAGGATTAAACTCAAGCCCAGATCATAAGATTCTCAAGGGATTGTCAATGAATGACCTTTTCAGATGGAGCCTCATGTGGGAGGAGTCTGCCCAGGCCCTCCTAGTTAATTTCTATCTCTGGTCCTCATTTCAGCATTTTGCAAAGGGACTTTGCATGAGGGGGCCTAAGATCTGTCTCATAGAAATAGGAAGTGTGCACTGCTATGCCTGATCCCTTCATGCCTCCTCCCAGTAGCTGTGATAAAAGCCATGGCAGGACCTTTTTTTTTTTTTTTTTAAACATAGACTCATCATGTCCTACCAAGATTTTATATTCCTCTCATGAATTGCAGTACCATCTATATATCCATCCAGATCAGAACCCCGGGAGTCCTGGAGGCTGCCCTCCCTCTTTACTACCTCTTGCCCACTGAATGGTTCTTAGAACTGCTTACTGTGTCTGTCTGTGCCACTGCTCTAAGTATAGGTAGGTCCTTATCTTGTCTCCCATGGATTGGCCAGATTCTTCCGATTGGTTTCCCTGTATCTTTTTTTTTTTTTAAGATTTTATTTATTTATTTGACAGAGATCACGAGTAGGCAGAGAGGCAGGCAGAGAGGAGGAAGCAGGCTCCCCGCTGAGCAGAGAGCCTGATGTGGGGCTAGATCCCAGGACACTGAGATCATGACCTGAGCTGAAGGTAGAGGCTTTAACCCACTAAGTCACCCAGGCGCCCCGGTTTCCCTGTATCTTATCGTAATGTTTTCAAAAACAGTTCTCACATTTCACATTTCTCTTGGACAGATCTTTCTAAAATGTGTATCTTTCTGAAATGTGTATTCAGCCATGTCACTGCCCTGTATAAGAACTTTCAGTGCCTTCCCACTAACTCCAGACTAAAATTGGAGCTCCTCTGTCAACGGTCACATCACGACCACTTCAGCTCTATCCCTTATCCCCTTTCCCTCCTACTTCATGTAACTACAACCAGAAACCCCTTGGATTTCCTTTCTCACTCCCATAGCTTTGTTCTTGTGGTTGCCTCCGCCTAGAATGCCCTATACCACCCACCTCTCCCCCCTTTGCTGGTTAACTCTTACTCATTGTTTAACACTCACTGAATTTGGGAAGGCTTCCCCACTGCTCCTTCTTCTCCCCTACTGTAACTGTGTTCGGCACCTGTCACTCTATGCGTACCTCACTGATCACTGTTCTATGCCTGCTCTGCTGGGTGCTAGTAGGCACCCCCTGTGGGCAAGGGCACTCATGAGTCTTCTCTGCATCCTCAGTGCCTGGCACAGAAAAAGCAGCCGGTTCATTTCTGTCAACTGGTTAAATGAAGAAATAGGAAGGGGAAAAGTTGGCTTGCAGACATGTTAAATAGGCTGAAATGTTTATTTAACGTAATTTTGACTTTTAAATGAGCACAGTGTATCTGTATCAATATATCCTTATATGTGTGTTTACTTTTATCATGTGTGCTATAAATGCTATGTTGTATTCCTGATAAAGACATATTCTGCATTTGGTTTTTAGGTTAAAGCCATTTACATCCACTCTGACATGTTCTCAGTTCAGAATGGCTTGCTGACACCAACACTAAAGGCTAAGAGACCTGAGCTGAGAGAGTACTTCAAAAAACAAATAGAAGAGCTTTACTCAATCTCCATGTGAAGTTCCAGGAAAGTTCTTCTCAGTATAATGGACTGTGTAGCAATACTGTAGTTACTCTTGAAAGTAATGAATCAGAATGATGCAGCTGAAAATGAATAAGCACGTGAGCTTATGATTGAGCCTTTTCCTGTCCCAAGAGGTCTTTAACAATATTTTCTCTATCATCACTGAGTACACTTTATTTTTATTAAAATGATATTGTAACAGGCTGCTAAAAATATCACAGATGGCAATGTAAAAATCAAGACTTTTCTCAAGGACTGTGTACCACTAAAAGTAATATATTCTCAATGTTCACAGAACTATTAAACATAAAGGAAAAACATAACTGATATACTGTACTTAATTATTTGTGGAATAGTAACCAGATAGTAACCAGATACAGCAAATTTCTAGACAATGTGGACTACCTCATTCAATAACTGATTGTCAAAATCACAGTTAAATCAGACTTAAAACATTAAAACTATGTGTACAGAATCATGCTAAAACAAAACATAATGCACATTCTGCATAACTTCACAGTCTTTATACATGACAATTCTTATTGATGTAATCAAGTTTTCCCTCTCATTTTTACTTTTATTCATGAAAAATGCAAATTCAGATATTCTTGAAACAAATGTTATATTTATATAACATTTTACAAAGATCTTTCAATACATTTTCTCATTAAACTCATTAAAATTTCAGGAACTACCTAGGAAAAAAATGTACAAAGACTTCAAGGATAATATGTATATATCCGTGGACTTCTTACAAGTGAATTCTAAAAGATCTCTGTTGACTGATTGCGCAATGAATGGACCTTTGGGGAAGACTTGGGAAAAGAAATCCAGAATTATTTCTCAGGATAGACAGCAATTAATGTCCCTATGTTCCTTGCTGGGTTCTTCAGGCCTTCCATTCTCAATATGTCCATGCCAGGCCTGGGAAACCCAATATGGCTATGATCCTGAACAAGGGGAGGAGGGAATGTTATTTCCAAAGAAAACAGGTTTCAACAACTTAATTTTGAAGAACTTCTTCAAAATACCCATAGAAGACTTTTAAGTCCATCATAGATAAATATCTCATAGGGCATAATTCCATTCATAAAATCCTTAAATGCTTCTAAGCTTAACCGTGGAAACCTCCTTTCTTGCATCATGTGTTTAGATACTTCTTGCACCTGAGTGCCGACAATCTCATATAATTAAAGCCAGCATGGATAGCAGTTAAGTTCCAAGCTACAGACTGTGCATCTGCTCAAGGAACCATCCCTAGGCAAGTGTTTTCTTCTGTAGAGACAGGACTCCGCAAGCAGACATGGAGGTGTAGTGCTCACAGTCCAGAAGTTCCTCTCTGCTGGAGCAAATCCAAGCTGTAAATAAATGCTATTGGTTAAAAAAAAAAAAAAAATGCATTATCGCACAGGCCTACTGGATGAATCTGTATCAGTGATTATAACATATTTCAGTCTTGGCAAAAGTGGATCACACCTTTATATGATGCATTTACCCAATTTTTACATATTCCTTTGGTAGATTTTTTCTGCAGACCCTTTACTTACACTTACAAATCTGACTTTTAGTATATGAGCTAGTTCAATGCATACTGACTTTTCAAGGCAGTTCTGAAAAAACAAATTCTTAAAATGTCCAAGGCTACATCCATATAGCATTAATTTTTTATATTTAATATGTTCAACTAATTGAAAGAGAAAAATCATTACCTGAATTAGATAGTCATACTATTTTAAATAAGACAAGTAGCTTCACATCTGAAGAAAATGAAGCTGCTTCCCATTGTCTTTCCACTCAACCAAAATTTCATAGTTGTCTTTTGTTTCCAAAAGGATTTTTGACAATGTAACATAAGCAAATAATTTAAAACTTATACTGATTCTATTTATATCTCACTGTAGTTAGATATGATTGATTATGGACAGCTTAAGCATTTCTTCTTTTTCTCACTTTAAAGATCTTCATGTATCTTCTGGTCTTCCTGATTGATCTGTGTGAAAAGCATCACACTTGGGCCAATAAATAGGTTACAGCAGATGTGCTGAGAAAAGTAAACTTTTGGCACTAAATATACTGCAGGTACATTTATCTATTCCTCTGTTTAATTCCACTTAATTTTTTAATAAAGGAGAAATGAAACAATACATGTTAATGGAAAAAAATCCCTCTTGTTTCAGATTTCCCAACTTAATGTTGGAAAATTTTGTATTTCTCTTTAACGAATATGGGAAAAGGCTATGTACTTAGGACGTTCACATTTGTAGTGGACATCAGATAGGATATAAATCTAGAGGTTTAACAGAGATCAATTACAGAAAACATATTCCTAAATGTTTGGCCTTTTATCAAGTTTCCATTCAAATGTAAATTAGTAACATAATTAGGAATATAAATTAGTAATTTTCACATTTTGCAAACTAATCCTGTATATAATTTAAAATAAGATATACACCGGGGCGCCTGGGTGGCTCAGTGGGTTGAGCTGCTGCCTTTGGCTCGGGTCATGATCCCAGGTCCTGGGTTCAAGTCCCACATCGGGCTTTCTGCTCGGCGGGGAGCCTGCTTCCTCCTCTCTCTCTGCCTGCCTCTCTGCCTACTTGTGATTTCTCTCTGTCAAATAAATAAATAAAATCTTAAAAATAAATAAATAAATAAAATAAGATAAGATATACACCAATTTTTTTTTCCTTTTGCCATGAAAGAGATCTTTATATTGCATAGTGATTCCCCTCCAGGCAGGAGAGAAACTGAGGTATTGGCGTGGAGGCCTACTTCCACATTTAGGAATTCACAAACTCACAAGTCCAAGGAATAAACATACCATGTCTCCCTCATATGTGCAAGTCAAAATTTCATTATAAATTTAAGTAAACCTGCAAGCATGAGAAAAAAATAGGACTTTGCATTGCAACTTTTATAGTCAGGTAATGTTTCAGCGACTTGAAGGTACCACTTAATTTGGCTGTATTACCCATCAACGAACTGATCATCTTTTATTTTTTCTGCAGTAAAGAAAATGCATTATTCTCTATTTTCCAAATGTACAAAGCACAAAGGTGATATAGTTATTTAGAATACAAAATACTATGAAATGAATGTAAACAATGGAAAAATGTATTTTTTGCATGAAACAGACTACTTACAAACTTGCTTCATATCTCAGGAAAAAAAAAAGAATGAATAATCGTATATAAAATTGATAAATTATATGTTGAATTAAGTTGCTGTATTTTCTTGCCTGTTTTTATTTTAAGGAAGCATAAACATGAAAAGAAAACAAACCTGATAGTCTTAATTTTTTTCTCAAGTATGCACACAGTCCTTTCTGTGATTCTAACTGCAGTGAGAATGAGATTAGCATTCAAGGAGGACAAAGCCCTAAAGGAGGAACTCTCCAGTTAGAACAATGAATGGTCATAACCCAGAGGCAATAGATAAATACCTGGAATACAAGCATTTCTAAACCTTGTCCCAAACTGAAAAGGTTCTGTTGAGGTGACAGTGGCTTTTAGACATTCATTTGACTGATAAATTTTCCTTGTTAAGTCACTTGCAACAATTGCATGGGGCAGAAGGAAATGGATATTTTTTGAAGAATTGCTTATTCTACTTTCAATTTTTAAAAACTGAGATTAAAAATTACTTTTTAAATATGCATAGAAGTATCTTAACTGTAATTATATTTTTAGTTGCTTTGTTATAATAGCATGCCTATCAAATATAAAATGCATTTATGAAAACTTTTGTAAAAAATAAAGATTTTTTCATTTCTCAAAGCTGCTTATAATTACTATTTTATATATTTATATAACATAATCCCTGTAGTTAGCATATTAATAGTCATTGATAACTGTAAACATTGTATAGAGCTTTATCACACTAGTCAGGATACTCTGCATTCTTTTTAAGGGTCCTCAGACTTCAGATTACAGTCCCCACCCAGAGACTCTCTCCTTTGCTTTGCACATTTCCTTTTACCAAATGTGTCCTGGATTTTTATGTGTCCTGAATTTAAATAATTTTTATACTTTTAAAAGAACAAATACCTGTATTCAAATTTTCCACTGTAATACATCTTAAACAACATTTTTACAATTTCTTTTACCCATATACAAACTAATGGTTACAATTTCTTACTGTGTGCCTCAGTTATGCAGATTCTGCCTTCTCTACAGATTTGCTATTGCCTACTGGGCCATTCTCATCTCTTGTCTGGAATATTACTGCTTTCTTTCTTTCTTTTTTTTTTTTTTTAAGATTTTATTTATTTGACAAAGAGATCACAAGCAGGCAGAGAGGCAGGCAGAGAGAGGAAGGGAAGCAGGCTCCCTCTTGAGCAGAGAGCCCGATGCAATGCAGGGCTCCAGGACCCTGGGATCATGACCTTAGCTGAAGGCAGAGGCTTTAACCCACTGAGCCACCCAGGCGCCCCCATTACTGCTCTTTCTTAATTAGTCTTCCTGTTTCCACCCCAGCTTCCTTAAATTTCACCACCCACATTTCAGTCAGTGTGATCTTTCTAAATTGAAAATCTGGTCACACCACTCTGCTGATTAATATTCCTTTGATGACTTCCCATAGTTTCCAGGATAAAGTTCAGACTCCCTGTTCCAGCGCACAAGACCTAGCATCTCTTCTCTTGCCCTTCCCCCATAGAGCCTGGGCTCCAGTCATACTAGCTACTTTATGTAGTGTCCTAAAAGCTTCATGCTTTTCTGTGCCTCCATGTGGCACATAGAGTCCCCTTTTCATAGAATGCCATAGCCTTTAATCCCCCTGCTAACTTCCACCACGCAGCTCTTAAAACAGCTCAACTATTCTTTTATTTTAGAAGATTCCCTTTGCCCCACTCCCACTCCCACTGTGAGTTACCTCAAGTTGTAGCCCCAGTGCAGAAGGTCTGGTCCATAGCGGATGCTCAAGAAATATCCATTTAGGGGCACCTGGGTGGCTCAAATTAGTTAATTGTCTGCCTTTGGCCCTGGTCATGATCTCAGGGTCCTGGGATCAAGCCCCATGTCGGGCTCCCTACTCAGCTGGGAGTCAGCTTCCCCCTCTCCTCCCTGCTTGTACTCTCTCTTGCGATCTCTGTCTCTCTCCCTGAAATAAATAAATCTTTTAAAAAATAAAATTAGGGACGCCTGGGTGGCTCAGATGGTTGAGCAGCTGCCTTCGGCTCAGGTCATGGTCCCAGCGTCCTGGGATCGAGTCCCCATCGGGCTCCTTGCTCAGCGGGAAGCCTGCTTCTCCCTCTGCCTCTGCCTGCCTGTGCTCGCTTTCTCACTCTCCCTCTCTCTGACAAATAAATAAATAAATAATCTTAAAAAAAATTTTTTTTAAATAAATAAAATTAAAAAAGAAATATCCATTTATGAAAAATCCCCTTGGTTCTTTTTCATACATTCATGCATAATGTACATATGCATTAAGATCGCAATCCCTTGAGGATATGTTTCATCTATCACTGTGGTTTTGTTCATTCTTGTCAAGTAAAGAAAAATAAAAATAAACTGGTTGTCAGTTGCACCTTGAAACCTATGGATAGTACCACAAACAAAACTACTCAGTGGGTCGGTCACTCCATAAAAAATACAGAAAGATTTCCTCTGAGCTCCTGGGAATCCTAAAGCCACAGACAGGCTATTTAAAAAACAAAAACAAAAACAAAAATATTTCTTCTGAAATCTCTTCAAAATTTGGAATTGTTTTCCCATGGAAGTTTGCCACTCCGTAACTGCTCCAAACCTAGTCAAACCCATAACATAACTGAACTGAAATAGCAGAATCCTGAGTCTAGATATGGAAGGAGTGCAAAGGGAAATGGGAGAAGTTCAGTTTAACACTCAAAGATGAATGCTTGCACTGGCATTTGTGTATTTGGGGTAGAATGGGGGAGACAGACAGATAATTGAATTGAGATGTGTCTGCCCTACCTCATTCTTTTGTATGGGACACATCTCCTTTCCTTTTATAGCCTGGTTCTGGGCGAAGCTTTAAAAAAACCAAGTCTGTTTGTAGTCTCTTTAATCCCCTTGCTGCCCACGGCTTCAAACTCCCTTCCTTGCTCCCTCTCCCCCCTGCCCAGCCATGTGTTAGGAAGAATGGGGTCATGACAAACACACTAGGCAAATGCCAGCAGACTCATGCCACCTATGCCAATCATCAGTCATAATGAGCCTCCCTAGGCTGTAGTTTACTCAGCTGCAGAATGAGGAGGCAACTAGATTATCTCCAAGGACCTCTTTTGGCTCAAGAAATCATTCGTAAGTTTATTTCCAGTTTTGAAACCCTATGTATTAACTCCTACGAATCTTTACTTGATGGCATTTCAGTAAATGCAGACCAGTGAGTGAGAAAGACCTCTATAGGGCCCCCAAAGCACAGATCAGCTTTTGCTTTAAGCTGCTTTCCTTTTTCATTGTTTCTTCCATTTCTAGGTATAGGGCATGGAAGAACCCAGACCTCCCACAGGTCATTTAAGAACTCCGAGTTTTTTTCACAACAGCCCCCAAAGGGAGAGAGGAGAGCCTGGAGACCTGACTTGTAAACTAGAGACTGCCTGTCAGCATATTATGGATATAACTAAAGAAAGGAGGTTGAAATATGAGAATTGCTTTGTACTGCAAAAACACTATGAGATCCTAGACTGAAGGACACCTCTGTATCCCCAGGACCTACCACCATGTCTAACACAGACTAAGGTGCTGAGTAAGTATTGATTCAGGGACTCAAAGCACTGTATCTAATTAGGTTAGACTACCCACCTTCTATTCTTGAAAGCTAAGTTTTAATGATTTCTTATATATTGAATCAACTGTCGTGAATTTCTATGAGCCTATTTTAAATTTTAAAAAATTCAGAGTGATTTCATTATGAAAATATTGTGGCTGTATGTGTGCTATAGTCACACATATACACTATTGGAGCATCACAAAAAAAGTCTGGAGTTTTTGTAATTTTATCTCTACAAATGCATTTTTAATGTTGTGAAATGTCATTTTTAAAAATAGGAAGATGGTTACTGTGTGCACAATATGTTCATCAGATGCAGCCAGATGGTTCAACCACAGTGTACGGAGAGAGGGAGGTCATTCCCACGTTCCTGCAATGATGCCCAGCAAACGCGCCGAGCCCCAAGACAGCAGGAGGTAAGAAATTCTCTACCTTGACCATAAGGCTGCCCAGATGTCCAGAGACAGCTCCTGGACAGGGGCTAAGGGAATTCCACTATCCTTAAGAATAAATATCCTGGAAACAAGATCTTCGCATGCTCAAATACCATGGCCCGGGGACTGAAGCTCATTGCTCAGGAGGATATTCTCTACTGGTTTAATGTACTTTTGTTCCCGTCTGATCTTCCCGCACTGAGTCAGGTGACGCCCCACCACCGCCCCGTCCTCCTCTACCCCCCCACCCCCGCTAGATTCCCTATGTTCAGACCCCAACACTGTTATTACCAGGGCTTTAACGCAATGTTACAAGGAGACAGGCTGAGCCATCCGTAGCATCACGTGACAGGCTCATCACGCCAAGGAAAAAATGAAATGCAGAGGAGCAACCTCCTGGACGACGAAAAGCCTTTTCCCCATAAGCTTACCTTCAGGCGAGAAACGGGTGAGTCTGTACTACCAGTCCGCAACCCTGCGGGCCCACTGCCAAATACCCCGACGTTACGCCCCCGGGGAGGCGGGGCCGTCTTCAGGGGGCGGAGCCTCCTCCTCGTTACTCCGCTTCCCAGAAGCTATCGCGCGGCTTGGTCAAGATAAAAAAGGGCGGGAGCGCCCTGCAGGCTCCAGTCAGTCAGGCGTTGGTGCTGTAGGCTTTTATCTCTTCGTCCCGCTCCTGTCGTTCTATTCCGCAGGCAGCTACGTTGCCTGGACGGTGGCTCACTCAGACTGTAGATTGTTTCCTCCGGAAGGCTAAGAGACAGGCTGTGAAGGGCCAAGAGGTCCCTGAGGCCTTGGTGGTGAGGTGGCAATGTGGTCACTACAGGTGTATACCCGCAAGAAGCGGGCCGGCCAGAGGCTCAACCTAACCCCGACGCTGGACCTAGGCCCCACCGCGAAAGTAGAGGCCCCCCCCAGGTCCAGGCAGAAGGCACTCTGCGCACCGTAAGCCCCAACTGACAAGGCCTGTGGAGAAGGGCCCAGGGTGGGCGAGCACAAGGGCGGGGGTGACTAGTCCTCAGCCCAGGGACACCCGAGGGCAGCAAGCCGGCTTCCAGGGCTTTGCCCTGAAATATGTCGTCCTCTCTTAGGCTTGAAAGGGAAAGCACATCGTTTGCAGAAGATCTCAGAGAAAGCAGAGTGCAGTGGGCAGGGAGTTAGCGGTTCTAGGCCACTGAGGTACGTAAGCCACTAGTGCCAAACCTGTGCCCTCTGTCTCCTCAAAACTTTAGTTCTCCTTTTCTGCCTATAGGCCCTCATTCTAAGTGTCAAGGAAGAAATGACTATAATACTATTTACAGTTTGGCTGCTGTTGGAACATAGACCCAGAAATTTGACTTTAGGAAGATTTTTATTTGAGAGAGAGGGAGAGAGACTCCCAAGCCGACTCCCTGGGAAGTACGGAACCCCAGGAGTTCGATCTCAGGACCCAGGAGATCATGACCTCAGCCTAAATCTTCAGTGGAAGCTCAACTGACTGAGCCACCCAGGTGTCCCTGGAAATATTTATTTAAAAAAATGAAGAGCAGTTTTGCCAACTTATCTAAAAGCAAGTGAGATAAAACCTTCAGGAAAGCATTTGTAGCGCCAGCGAATATTGGTACAATTAACCCACTGGAGTCTTTACTTTTTCCTAATGACGTCCAAATAAGCCTTTAAGATTCTGAACAGTGTGAACTGTGAACAGAGAAGGGGAGAGCTAAGTCCAGACCATGCAAATTAATTGTGTTATTTGTTTGTTAGCGGTCAGTTAAGAGTTACAGGACAGAAAAGCCTGCAAGAAAATAGCACTAATGAAGAGCCCCCGGATGAGAAAGTTGCTCCATTGAGTGTATGTATACTTCTCTTACGGACCTTGGATATACTTAAAGCAGAGGCCAATGGTAACTGATGTGCCTTCAGATTAAAGTGTATTAAGAATTTTGTTCAATAGAGACTGCATATCTTCCTAGCGTTTTTGTAAACATTGGTGTTTTCTCTTTAGACAGGGCCTTGAATTTCTAATTCTGGTGGAAGATTCATGGGCGTATATTTTTTGTTTTTAATTTCCGTTGACACAGATTTGAGAAATGCCCATTACTCACTAATTTTCTATAAAACAGCTATCTGTAAGTTTTTCTTAGTAACTCCCTTATGTTTAGTAGCAGTTAAACCATTTTAAAGCCATTTTCATTCTCATTTGAATTTCCTTTGATGGCTAGTAACAGTGTTCATTACCATTAGAATATATAACTTCTTGATTTACTGTATTTAATATGGATTCTGTACAATATTTTAAGGATACGTAGTAATTTGGAGAGATACAGAATTTAAAAATTGCTTGTGACTCATTTACCATTAGCATTAAATAGTCATGTTCCAGAGCTTTAGCTTATATATCTCTTTAAAACATGTGTTTTGGGGGTGGGCAGTTTCAACAAATGGCACTTTTTTTTTTTTTTAACAAATGTCATTTTTTAAAAAGGCCTTTACTCTGGATTTTAAGTGTTAAGTGTTCCTTGTAGATGTTTCAGATTATGCAAAAAAAAAAAAAGTGCTTAAAAAGTTCCCTCTAATTTTTATGTATTTCCTTACATTCCTTTTTCCAGTTTTTTTTTTTTACAATCTCTTTTTTCAATTTAGAAATTGTTATCTTACTGTATATTCCTCTAACACTAAATGGCCTTCAAAAATATGATTTTTAGTGTCTAAATAGTGCTTTGTCTTATAGATAAATATACTGTAATTTATATAACTATTTTCCGGTGGTTGGAGGATTGAGATTATTTCCAGGTTTTACCATTTTAGGTATCAGTGGACGTTGTACCACAGAAGTTTTTTGTGCACCTTAAAATTGTTATCCTAAGACAAATAACTTTGCAGTGGGTCAAGGGTTGGATCATGTTTAAAGTTTGATTCATGTTGGCCACTTGGCACCATTTTACCTGATACTTAAAAAGTACATATATTTTATTGAACATGACATCTGAAACTAATGATGTACTATATGTTGGCTAATTTAATTTAAATTTTTAAAAAAAGGAAAAAGGAAAAAAATGCATATATTTGATAGATGAAAAGTAGCATGTTATTTGATACTGCATTTCTCTGAATGCAGTATTTCTGAATGTAAAGTTTACACTTTTTTCCCTTCCTTTTATTATTTGTGTTTCTTTTTTGTGAAATGCTTATTGATATATATATTGAAGACAGTTACACTTTATACACACATAACAAATAGTTTTATATTTTTTTGTTTGCCTTTAATCATATTTCTGGTATTTTAACTTATCACTCTTTTCATTTATTTTGCTTTCATATTTAGAGAAAGAAAAGCCCTTCCAGCCTAGGGGAACAGAAAAATATTCACCTTTAATGTCTAGTTGCTGGTTTATCCAGTAGTTAGTTGACTAGTATATTGCTGACTCTGTAGATATGTCCATGTTATTATATTTTAGTATTTACTTTTAGATTTAATATTAAGTATCAGATTACATCTGTGATCAGTAGGCTGAAAGAATCTATTACATATGAAACTGATACACAATGTTGATACTAGTTTTTCATTTTCAAAATAACCAAACTAGTGTGATATAATATTATAATATGAAAATATTCAGTCTCATAATTTGTGCTATATCTTTAATTCTCGTTTCCCTTAGGAATCAGTGACTGATGACCTCCAGGTTGACTGTAGTTCATCCAATAGTGAGCTAGTATCAGGTAAGATTGTCACATGTGAACTCTCTCAGCTTTGTTTCTTACAAATAGAAGCATCCATTTGTATTTTTGCCTCATCTTCCCATCTCAGTGGAAGAAGTGTCTTTCTCCTAGTCCAAGGTGAATCCTATGTGTACAATGGACATCATCCTCATCCTTCAAGCACACTCCAGCCAATTAAAATTGAGATAAATACTACAAAAGAGATTGACTTGAGTGTAACTAATTGAGTTTATTTAGAAAGTTTAGGGAAGGATTCCATGAGGGAATAGTAATTGAATTGACTTAGGAAAAAAAGGAGAAATTAACTGTTCAAGGAGATGAGTTAAGAGCCATCCAGGCAGAGGGAACAGCATGTGCAAAGACCCTAATATGGCACTAAGCCTTGTGAGTTCTTGAACTGAAAGAAAGCCAGTGTGACTGTAGTACAGAAAGAAGGGGGGAATGCAGTAATAAGCCAAGGTTCAACAGACAGAGGCCTTGCATAACATTGTAGGCCATGTCAAAGATTTTGGTGTTTGTATTTGTAGCAGCAAGAAGCCACTGATGTCTTACTTAGGAAAATATATGATCACCTTGGCCGTGGTGTGGAAATAAGCAGAATGGATGCAAATAGATCAGGTAGGGGGTTATACAGTATTTTAGGGGGAAATGATGGCACTTTGTACTAAAAGATAACATTGGAAATGGAACAAAGTGGACATAACTCATGACCATTTTAGGAAATGAAACTGACGGAGTTTGGCAAATGAAGAATGAAGTAGATGGAGGTATCAAAAATGACATCTGTTTCTGGCTTGCATAACTGGATATAAGGTGGTGCCATTTACTGAAAAAAAATCTTGTTTGAGGGAAGGTTCATAAATTATGTTTTTAATATAAGTTATGAGTACTTTTAAGATGATTAAGTAGAATGCCATATGAGCAGTTGGATACGGAGGGAAGCTGATAGAAAATTTGTGAGCCATCTACATATTGGTGTAATCAAAGTTATTTTAAAAAATAAGAAAGGATGCCATCAGCACACCAGAAATACTGAGGAATTCTTAAAAGCAGATGAGATCAGATTGCTGAATATTTGAAGAACAGAGAAAAACTGCTGCCGTGGTAAGAACAGCTCTAGAGACATTTGAAACAGTTGGTCAATAAATGCAAAAAAAAAAACAAAAAACAAAAAACAAACAAACAAAAAAAAACCAGAAAAGTAATAGAAAGGACCCTGAAGGAATTGTCAAGGTGATGGATTAAACACTACATTATGTAACTATGTGGCCTGGTTCCTCTTCCTCATCCCTTTCTTACATTGGAAACATTGGCAGTTACAATGCTGGCTGCCAGGATGAACCATGGAAACTCTCCTAAGCAAAGAGAACTAAGGGTTTGGATTCTAAGTGTCAATTTTGAGGCTGGAATGAGAAGCAGAAGAGAGTCTGAAGTAACTGCAGAATGCCACAAAGATCACAGTGGGATAAAAAGGTGAAAGAGATAGATTATGCTTATGCTTATTAACCCCAGGGTACAGATGTAGTATGACTCTCTTAAATGGAATTTCTTTTTTTTTTTTTTTTAAGACATTTTATGTACTTATTTTAGAGAGCAGAGTGAACATGGCCATGTGAGAGAGAAGGAGCAGGAAGAGGGGCAGAAGCAGATTTCCTTCTGAGCAGGGAGCCCAGTATAGGGCTCTGTCCCAGGACTCTGGGATTATGAGCTGAGCTGATGGCAGACACTTATCTGACTGAGCCACCCAGGCACCTCTGAAGTGGAATTTCTTTTCTTTTCTTTTCTTTTTTTAAAGATTTTATTTATTTATTTGACAGACAGAGATCACAAGTAGGCAGAGAGGCAGGCAGAGAGGAGAGGAGGAAGCAGGCTCCCCACAGAGCAGAGAGCCCGATGCGGGGCTCCATCCCAGGACTCTGGGATCATGACCCGAGCCGAAGAGAGAGGCTTTAATCCACTGAGCCACCCAGGTGCCCCTGAAGTGGAATTTCTGATAATGGAGCTTTGTAGTGTGTACCCTATCCGGACAATTAGGACAGTGCTCCATGTAACCTACAATACCCAGAAAATACAGGAGGACATCACCATGCAGAACACAGGTTCTCAGAATGTCTCATCACTCATAAGTCTCCAGAAGTAGGCTGCTGTTTCAGAGTGTATATGCACTGCTATACAAACAAAGATTTTCAAGTAGAGATATAAATGGACAACCAGGAGCAGCCAAACCTTTGAATAAAATCAGTGGCATAGAAGAGAGGCCACAAATTGAGCAAACAGAGTAACTTTAACAGCTGAGAAATAGCAAAAAACTTTAAATATCTCTTTGAAGACAAGAGGCCGGGGCACCTGGGTAGCTCAGTGCGTTAAGCATCTGTCTTCAGCTCAGGTCATGATCCCAGCGTCCTGGGATGGAGCTCCACATCAGGCTCCTTGCTCTGTGGGGAGTCTGCTTCTCCCTCTGCCTGTCCCCCTGCTCGTGTTCCCTCTCCCTTAAATAAATAAAGGAAATATTGAAAAAAATAAAGACAAGAGACCACTGGATCCATAATATAACAATCTGTTTTAACAAAAATTATAGTCCCTAGAAACTAAAAATATCATCAAATTTTAAAACTCAGAAAATGATCCGAATATTGAAATGAATTCAGCTCAAAATCAAATTAGCTGGCTAGAAATTAGAATAGAGAAATATTTCCTAGAATATAGTACAAAAGAACATGGAAGGTGCTCAAAAAATACATTTCCTTCCTTCTCTTCTCTTTTTATGTTTAACTTGTACTTGTTCTTCAAGGAAAAAAAAATCAGGTGCTGTCTCTACTGGGAACTCTCTTGACCCATCTTCTCTCTTCCTACATGATTTGTTCTTTCCTGGGAATTCTGTGGTACTCTTTGTATACTTCTTTTAGGACTCAAAGCAGTAGCATTATTGCTTTTGTTACTTTTGGCGCTAAAGCCATTGAGAATAAGCCCTACATTTTATGTTCCTATCTCATGTTTGGGACCTTATATAATTGCAAATGCTTGTTGAATGAGTTTTATACTCTGTTTAGAGAAAATAAACTATTTAATCATAATTATTATTTTCTTAAATTGTAGTTTAAATACATAATATATGTCATTGGTTACTAGATTTATCAAGTTGATGGGTAAAAGATAGAAGGAAATAGAGACTAGACTGTCTCTAATTTGCAAACTGGTTGCATTCTAAGACATCATTGTCAACTGATATTTGAAACCTAGAATACTTTTTCCCATAATAAAATGTAAATGGTTAGGTTTTGAACAGCCTACAGAATTCTATTTAATATATAAGTAACCATTTTAATTCTGTCTTGGAATGTAGTTAATTTTGCAACATGATGAAAATTAATTCAAGACTTTATATTTAGTATAGAAGATTGAACATAGACATTTACTTCTCCCTTTCCTGAGAGAGAAGGAAAAAATAATTGAGAGCTAGATGCCTAAAGTAAGGACAAATGAAGAAACAAACTGATCCAAGCTATAGTTTCAGGAATTAGAGGCATCACATATTCCTGAAGAAATGTGTACAGATAGTGTTGAAAATAGGAGGATTTTTAGAAATCTTTAAAAGTTATGGTTAAATTCTTTGCTCCCTTCCCTAACGGTGTGGTCAGACAATTACTCTTTTTCCAACCTTGGCAGTCCAGATACATTGAAGCACAGGATCTGGACTCAGGGATGCCATATTGAAAAGTAGTAGGGGTACAGGGAGGAGGGAAGGGAATTAACTAAAGTTTGTATACTTAGTGGTGTAACTTTTGGGCCCATTATCCCACCTTACCCCACTCGGGAAAATACTCCTCAAAAAAGACTGGAGGATTCTGCTTTTAGAATCTTCTCTGACCAGAAGGAGACCTATATTCTGGCAGTAATGAACTGGTCCCTATCTTAAAGACCCTTCTGTGAAGCCCACTAGTTCCTAAATCCCACTCATGGACCTAGAATTTCCAATTAATGTGTTAGAGCATCATTCCTGAACATTCAAGAATTAAAAGGCACTTAATGAAAGCATTTCAAATAAATGGTACCAAATGAAAAGAAGCTTGAGGGATACAGTGCAAAGTAAGGAAAAATTTTAAAAGCCATGTTTCATTATCCTCAGGACAATGAAAATATATATCCAAGATAAAAGTATGGACTACTATGAAAAGGAGCAGTTGGAAAACAAAAAGTATTCTTAAAAAATAAAAATACAAAACTAAAAATAAATACATTATTTTCATACAAATACAAAATACAATCATAGTACAATTTTTTGTACAAATTTTATACAAACATTTACACAAATTTTGTATGGTTTTTTATACAAATACAAAATTAAAAAGAAAACATTCTGGGCGCCTGGGTGGCTCAGTCATTAAGTGTCTGCCTTTGGCTCAGGTCATGATCCCAGGGTCCTGGGATCAAGCCCCACATCAGGCTCCTTGCTCCTCAGGAGGCCTGCTTCTCCCTCGCCCACTCTCCCCTGCTTGTGTTCCCTCTCTTGCTCTGTCTCTCTCTGTCAAATAAATAAATTAAATCTTTAAAAAAAAGAAGAAGAAGGAAGAAAAAGAAAACATTCTGTGAAGGATTGGATGATGAATTTAAGGAAATATTCCAAAAGTTAAACTAACATCAGAAGATAAAAGATAAAAATAGTGGCAGTGGTGACACAATTCTGTGAGTATACTTAAAATCACTCAATTGTATACTTTAAAAGGTGGAGATTTATGGAATATAAATTTTATCGCAATAAAACTGCTATTTTAAAAAGAAAAATAATGGGGCGCCTGGGTGGCTCAGTGGGTTAAGCCGCTGCCTTCAGCTCAGGTCATGATCTCAGGGTCCTGGGATCAAGTCCTGCATTGGGCTCTCTGCTCAGCAGGGAGCCCGCTTCCCTCTCTCTCTTTCTCTGCCTGCCTCTCTGCCTACTTGTGATCTCTCTCTGTCAAATGAATAAATAAAATCTTTAAAAAAAAATAATGAGAAGATGAGTTCAGACATTCTAACATCTGAAAAATAATAGTTCCAGACATTATAGAGTAAACAGAAAGGAAATTATGAAGACATAAAGCTAGACATTTTTCTAGAATTAAGAGAGCTCATGAGTATGTATAACAAAAGAGCCCACCAGCTGCCCATCACAATGAATGAAAAAAGACTCATACCAAGCACAACACAATGTAACTTAAAGATCCTCAGGATAAAGAGAGAAATCCTTCAGTCTTCCAGGAAAAAAAATTGTTGATTGCAAATAAGCAATGGAGAATATGAATGGCATTGAGTTTCTCAAGAGCAACTGCAATGCATTTAAAATTCTGAAGCATACAGATTTAGCAGAGATAGAATAGATGCCCAGGCAAAATTCGGTTCAGATTTCAAGACTGATGGTATTTCAAGACTGATGATGCCACCCATATAACCAAGAGGGTTAAGGAAAGGTTTGTCACTCACATAATGAGACTTTCTAGAGAGAAGTGCATCTTCCAAATAGGACTGAAAATGGCTTGAGAGAACAGGGAGAAGAAACAGTAGAAGGGGTGTTAAGTGAGGCAAGGATGGAGTTTCCCAGGCATGGTTTTAACTTGAAACCATTGCCAAAAGATGGAACATCAGGGCTTTCTTATCAGCTTGCCCAGATGTGGGGCAGAGATAGCACTGAGGTTTAAATTTGTCAAACATCAGAAAATGACATCAGTCATTTTAATACACGAGTCTGGAATTCTGTACCCAGCCAAACAATTACTCAAGCATGAAGATAGTATAAGCAAATTTCTAGACAGGTCTTCCGTCTTTTCTCATGAGATAAAGGAGATACTCCAACAAAACTAGAGAATAAATCAATAAAGAAGAAATCAAAGTATCCAGCAATCAGAGGCAATCTGATTGGCTTTCTTAAGATTCAGAAAGAATTTCCTAGGATAATGGTAAAAGGGGAATTCCAAGAAGACACCTGTGCATCATGTCTAGAGGACAAGAGGTCTGAATTTGAGCAAGTTAATTGAGAGCTTCAATAGCAGTACTTCTTTAAAAAGGGGGGAGAGGGGAGAAAAAGAAGGAAAGAGGAGAAAGGGGGAATGAGGGTGGAAAAAAAGAAAAGAAAAAAGAGAAAGGAACTGATAGATAACTTGGAATTTTTAAAGTATTGAGAAGAGATGTATAATTTTGTAAATATTTGGGACAGAATAGTGATAGGTACTTGGAAAACTAATTTTAAAATTGAGTAATCAGTAATTGAAAAAAAAAAACAACTTGTAGCAAAAGGATCTGTCTATAGCTCATAGTATATGGCTTGGGTATAAATATATTTGAGCAGGCATAATAATAGAATTTTTGAACACATTTTAATTTAGAAATATAAAGGGAGTGTTAGAAGAAAGAGTTAGTAGTTAAAAATAGTTGACTCTGGAGATTAGGGAATTATGGGGTGGTATGAGACAACAGATTGCTGTTTTGGTTACAAGCCTTATAGAACAAGTTGACTTAATAAAAGTGTATATATAGTATAAGCTGACATAAATATAACTTTAAGTGCATTTACATTTCTAACCTGTGACTCCAGAAACATCCTTCCACTGCTATAATCATGATTATTTATATATTCTTTTCTCTACCCAACTACCCAGATGGTGAGCATGGGGTTTTCCTAATTTCTAAGCCTGGCTTGAGTTCTGGGGTTTGATGGAAGGGATGGTTCTACTCTGTGTGTGGTGTTCATGGAATTTTGAAAACTGGAAGGCAAGAGAGATGTAACAACATGTGAGAAGGGAAGGATGAAGACGGAGTGAGAAGACTAAGAAGCGAGGACAGGGACAAGATACTCTGGGGCACTTGGAGTAAGAGAAGCAAAAGATGATCAACCTACCTATGACATCTGATGTGGTGAAGAGATTAGATTGGGTCAATCAATTTAAGTGTTGAGTGGTGGTTAGAAGAGGGGGCCAGATTGGAAATAATTGTCAACTTTAAGGATGATGTTGGAGTGGAAGAGAAAGATGTGGTAAGGTCAATGTAGGAAGGACAGAGTTAGTTGTCTCAGGTAGGTAATGGATGAGGAGAGATGGGCTATAATTCAGTGCCCCCGCAGGAAAAATAAATTTATGAGAGTCATGCTCCCCTTTTATCCCTAACCCTCCCAACACCCTGCCAGTTTTTATTTAGTGTTAACATCTATCTTTTCAGTTGAAAGTGTTTAATAAATGCTGACTAGAGAAGACTACATTTTCCCTTTTTTTACTAAACCTGTTTCTTAAGTTTTGGTATTAATTTCTTTCCCTTTCATTTATGTGAAAGTTCTTCACTGTAGTTCATTCTCACAGGGATAACTTTAAAGACTTCTTAGTCTGGAAGATTCTCTGTTCAAATATTTTGCCCCTTATTGAAAGGTTTGTTTTCTTATTATTAAGTCTTCAGAATTATTTATATTCTGGATTCCAATCTATTTGCAGTTGTTTTCTGTCAATCTGTGGCTTGTCTTTTTCTTGTAACAGTCTCTTTCAAAGAGAAGTTTTAAATTTATGAAGTTTAATGATCATTGCTATAGTTATTGTTAATCTTAGTGTTATAAGAAATCTTTGCCTACCTCAGTGTCTTGAAGATTTTCTCCTCTGCTTTTTTTTTCTAGAACCTTTGTATTTTTAGGATTTACATTTATGTCAATGACCCATTTTTTATCTGATGGAAGGTATGAATGCAAGTTTTTTGTTTTGTTTTGCTTTTGCATATAGGTACGCAGTTCCTTCAAGATAATTTGTTTAAAACAGTGTCCTTTCTCCACTGAATTGCCTTTGCATCTTGGTAAAAAATCAGTTGCTCGTATAAGTCATTTCTGGGCTTTCTGTTGAATTCCTTTGATCTATTTGTCTGTTTAAGCTCATTGTTTTTTAAATGGAATAACTAGAGTTACTTTTCCTTCTCAGCTAGTTAGTTTACAATTATGGGTTACTTATATGTAAAACTTGCATTTTGGAATAAAAAATCACAACTTAACTGAAGGAAGGGAAAAAATAAATTATGAAACTTGGTAAAGCAATGGAAAAAGATTATAATGGTTTCTCTACATCAAAGCCAGAATTATTTTTTAAGATTGAAGTTAAAGTGGTGTGCAACAGTATGCCTTTTCAGTTGTTTGTATAAGTAATTTTACATTCTCTCTATATAATTGCATATATGTTTCTACAAATATGAATTCCTAGGATTCTGAGTCTATTTACTATTGAAACATTTTACCCTTTTCCTTTGTTTATTTTATAGGACTAACTTTGCAGCATGGTATTTCTAGTTCTCTTCTGAGCTATTCATTCACAGACTCTTGCACAGAACACAAGAGTTTTGGAGAGAGTTTAAGCAGTTTCTCATCGCCTGAACTCTTCAGAGGATCAGATTCTTTAGGTAAGAAAATACTCTCAACCTTAAGCTGACCCATATAGAAATTGTTCCTTTGTTCACAAGTAATATTCCTCTTGAGAAGGTATGCTTGTCTTCCTCAACTAAACCTCCTTCCCCAGTCCACTACTGCATTCCATGCTCGATCACATAGGACTATTCATTAAAAGCTACCAGACAAGAAAAGGATGAAGATATTAGGGGAATGCCCCCGAAACAGGCCAGTTTGATCTGTAGTATCCCAGAGAAGCTCACAATTTGGCTGCACCAGTACTTGTAAAAAGGTATGTCTGAAATGTGAAAGATGTGGTGACTACTTTCTTACTCAAATGGAACTTAGAGATTTATTCTTTGGGGTTTTTTGAAACAGAGGAACTTTGGCCTATAGGACACTAAGCACTGTTAAAAACAAGGATCTGTGATATTTTGAAATGTTGGTCCCAAATACTCATTCCCCTGTAGTAATATTATATATCCACATTGTTGCCATATCCTTGCAGTGGGTAGAGTGTACTCTACTCTACTCTCCCTCTTTGGCTCTGGAAAAGCAATGGAAATATGACTTGCTTTGGGCAGTAGGATATCAGTGAATGAAACATAAGCAGATCTTTGAAATATGCCTAAATGGGTGGACTTGTCCTCTTATACTTTTAACATTGTGAGAAGAATATATCTTAATTAGCTTCAGCTTCTCCTGTGGGGACCCCAGAATGAGAGGTATGGAACAAAACAGTCCCAGGCAATCTGTAGATTGCAGAGAGCTGCCCCAGCATATCAGCAGAAATGTAATCTGAAGCAGACCTGGTGAACCAATCTGTAGACATGGGAATAAGAAATAAATGCTTTCATTTTATGTCAATGAGATTTGAGGGTTATTTATTACATAGAAAAAGCCAACTGTTTCAGAGACTGTACAGAATGAAGTAGAGAGGAAATTAAATGAAGTGTACATTATGAATTGTTGTACCTTCTCACATAATGCCTGTTCCCTCACCAACCCAACATTCCCTTTTTCTGTTCAGCTTCCAGAATACTAGCAACCAGACTTGAACATTTCAGGCAGGAGAATGGAAGATTCTTTCCTAACAAATCTGAGCAACCCTAAAGAAAATATCTAATGATACTGACCTCAGTAGCCCTTCAGTGAAGCTGACAAGAACACCCTAAAATTAAGTCAACTTGTGACAAACCCCAACTAGGCCACAGAAATCCCAGTTAGCCTCTCACAGCCCTCTCTTAAATATGAGTAGAGAGCCAAGAATCACCAGACCTCTGAGGAAAGTTTCTAACATAAAACATAGAGATCAGAACAAAGGAAAATATGGAAATGATATCAGCAAAATGTTGGATTAAGAAGCCCTGGCTCCTCCTTCCCCCATGGACACACCAATTCAACAGTAATACATGGACTTATTCCTTTTGTGAGAAATCTAGAAGCTAGTCAAGGGACTCTTATACCCAAGGCATGTATGAGATCAGCCACATCAAAGCCAGTAGGAAAACTCAAGACACTCTCTCACCATAATCCCCACTCATAGCACATTGCCACACAATTGGCAGGAAACCACCAGGTCCCAGCTTCTCCCTGGGGAGGGAAAAAAGGACTGAACTGTGTGTGAAATGTAAATTTTCCGGGAGCTTCCCAAAGGATTGGCTACTCTTGTGACTGTTTCAGAATGCTGCCTAAGGGAATGGCTTCTGTCTCATCTGTCTCAGAGTGCTGATGGGACCTGATATATTCTAGATGACTCTTGGCCACTAACAACAAATACATTGTGTGAGGAAAGCTTAAGAGACTCATGGAACACAATGAAACATGCAATTTATACTTCATAGGGGTCCCAGAGGGAGAAGAGATGAGGGAGGGAAAGAAAGAAGGGAGGGATAAAAGAAAGAGAAGGAAGAGGGGGGAAAAGGGAGGCAGCGGGGGGGGGGGGGAGGGGAGGAGAAAGAGAATGCAGGTAGAAGGAAGAAAAGGGAAAAAGAGCACATGCCAGAAAATTTATTTATAGAAATAATGGCTGCAAAATTCCCAAATCTGGGGAAGGAAGTGCAGACCTAGGAGGCCCAGTGAATCTCAGAATAGGCAAATCAAACAAATCCACACAGGAACTCATAATCAAATTATCAGAAGTGAAAGACAAAGAATTTTAAAAGCAGTAATACAAAAGCAAAATAGAAAACAGCTTGATATGTACATTAGACTATTGATGGATTTCTCAGCAGAAACATTGGTGGCCAAACTGTACAGATACAGTTAAAGTGATGAAAGAAAAGAAACTGTCAACCAAGAATACTGTAACCAGCAACACTATCATGGAGTATTATTCAGCTATAAAAATAATTTTTTATTCTTTGCCATTTGCAAAGACATGGGTAGAGCTAGAGAGTATAAAGCTAAGTAAAATAGAGAAAGACAAACCATATGCTGTCACTCATATGTGGAATTTAAGAAACAAAAAGAGCAAAGGGGAAAAAAGAGAGATAAACCAAGAAACAAATTTTTTAAATAAGATTTTTTTATTTGAGAGAGAGAGATAGTGAGAGATAGAATACAAGCAGTGGGGAGAGGGAGAAGCAGGCTCCCCACTGAGCAGGGAGCCTGATGAGGGCATGATTGCAGGTCCCTGAAATCATGACTTGAACCGAAGGCAGATGCTTAATCAACTGAGCCATTCAGGTACCCCAGGAAGCAAACTTGTTTCTTTTTTTAAAAGATTTTATTTATTTATTTGAGAGAGAGAATGAGAGAGAGAGAGGACAAGAGGGGAGTGGTGGTCAGAGGGAGAAGCAGATTCCCCGCCCAGCAGCGAGCCTGATGTGGGACTCCATCCCAGGACTCCAGGATCATGACCTGAGCTGAAGAAAGTTGTCCAACCAACTGATCCAACCAGGTGCCCAGGAAACAAACTCTTAACGGTAGAGAACAAACTGATGGTTACCGGGGCATGGGGGCAGCAGGAGGCCTGCTTCTCTCTCTCCTACTCCCCCTGCTTGTGTTCCCTCTCTCCCTGTGTCTCTCTCTGTCAAATGAATAAATAAAATCCTTAAAAAAAAAAAAGTTGGGGCGCCTGGGTGGCTCAGTGGGTTAAAGTCTCTGCCTTCAGCTCAGGTCGTGATCCCAGGATCCTGGGATTGAGCCCTGCATCAGGCTCTGCTCTGTTCAGCGGGGAGCCTGCTTCCTCTCTCTCTGCCTGCCTCTCTGCCTACTTGTGATCTCTGCCTGTCAAATAAATAAATAAATAAATAAATAAATAAATAAATAAATCTTTTTTAAAAAGTTAAAAGATATATATAATAATAAAAGTTATTAAAGTTATTAAAATAACTATAATAAGATGTGTTAATAGATACACACTATAAAAAGGTATAAATTATAACATCAGTAACAAAGTGTGTATGAAGGGAGAAATAAAAATATAGAGTTTTTTGGGGTGCTTGGATGGCTCAGTCAGCTAAAGCATCTGCCTTCAGCTCAGGTCATGATCCCAGGGTCCTGGGATCAAGCCCTTTGTCAGGCTCCCTGCTCAGCAGGAAGCCTGCCTCTCCTGCTCCCTCTGCCACTCCCCCTGCTTGTGCTCTCTCACTTTCTCTCTCTCTCTCTCAAATAAATAAATAAAATCTTTAAAAAAATTTTTTAAAAATGGAGATTTTGTATATGATTGAAGTTGCTAGAAGCTTAAAATACATTGTTAAAACAAAATTTTATATAAGCACCATGGTAACACATAGAAAATACCTATAGAAGATACTCAAAATATTGGGGTGCCTGGGTGGCACAGTTGGTTAAGCATCTGACTCAGGTTCAGCTCAGGTCATGATCTCAAGGTCTTGAGATCGAACCCCACATTGGGCTCTGCACTGAGCATGGAGTCTGTTTTCTCTGCCCCTCCCCACCTCACGCTCACTTTATCTTTCTCTCAAATAAATAAATAAATATTTTTTTTAAAAAGAAGGTACACAAAAGAAAAATAGAAAGGAATAAAAGCATATCAGTATGAAAAAAAAATCAATGAAACAGGAAGGAAGATGGCAAGAGAGGTAAAGGGGCAAAAGAACTAAAACACAGAAGATAATTAACAAAATAGTAACAGTCTTTCCCAATCAGTAATTATCTTAAATGTAAATGGTTTAAATTCCCCAACCAAAAGACAAAGAGTGGGTGAATGGGTTAAAAAAACCAAGGTCCAACTATATGCTGTCTACAAAAGACTCTTTTTACATTTCAGGACACACATGGTCTTAAAGTGGAGCAATGGGAAAAGATATTCTGTGCAAATGATAACCAAAAGAGAGCAGGAGTGGCTCTACTTATATCAGCTAAAACAGACTTTACATTAAAAACTATCACTAGAGACAAAGACATGATATAATGATAAAAGGGTCAATTAATCCAGAACATAATATGATAATAAATAAATAGGCACTCAGCATCAGAGTACCTAACATAATCAACACTGATAGACCTAAAGGCATAAATGGACATTTACATGGTAATGGAGACTTCATTACTTCCACTTTAAATAATGAATAAAACATCTACACATAAATTCAACACTTTTTTTAAAAAAAGATTTTATTTATTTATTTGACAGAGATCACAAGTAGGCAGAGAGTCAGACAGAGAGAGAAGAGGAAGCAGACTCCCTGCCAAGCAGAGAGCCCAATGTGGGGCTCGATCCCAGGACCCTGGGATCATGACCTGAGCTGAAGGCAGAGGCTTTAACCCACTGAGCCACCCAGGCACTCCTAAATTCAACACTTTTTAATTTCAAAATGTATTACAAAACTACAGCAATTGAAAAACATGGTACTGGCAAATAGATAGACATATAGGTTAATGGAATGGAGAGCCCAGAAATGAATCCATGCTTATACAGTCTTCTTGATTTTAAATGAAGAGTGACAAGAATAAACAATGGGGAAAGAGTAGTCTCTTCAATAAATTATGTTGGAACACAGGACTTCCACATATGAAAGGATGAAATCAGGCCATTACCTTACATCATGTAGAAAAACCAACCCAAAATGCACTAAAGACTTAAACATAAGACCAGAAACTATAAAACTCCTAGAAGAAAACACACGGGTAAATCTAGATGATATTGATCTTGACAGTAATTTCTTAGATATGACACCAAAAGCACGGTCAACAAAACCTCAAATAGTCAAGTGGGACTACATAAAACTAAGAAGCTACACAGGAAAACAACAGAACAAAAAGACAACATACAAAAAGGGAGAAATGTTTGCAAACTACATATCTGATGAGATTGATATCTAAATCTGTAAGAAACTCCTGCAACTCAGTAGGAAAAAACAACAAATAACCCAATTACATAATGGATGAAGGACTTGAATAGACATTTCCCCAAAGGGGACATACGAATGGCCAACAGGTGAAGGCTGGATGGCTCAGTCAGTTAAGTGTCTGCCCTTGGCTAGCTCATGATCCCAGGGTTCTAGAATCAAGTCCTGCACTATGCTCCTTGCTCCATGGGGAGTCTGGTTCCCCATAATTATGTTCTTTTTCTCTGACAAATAAATAAATAAAATCTTTTAAAAAAATTACTAAAACCAGGGCGCCTGGGTGGCTCAGTGGGTTAAGCCTCTGCCTTCGACTCAGGTCATGATCTCAGAGTCCTGGGATCAATTCCCACATCAGGCTCTGCTCTGCAGAGAGCCTGCTTCCTCCTCTCTTTCTCTGCCTGCCTCTCTGACTACTTGTGATCTCTCTGTCAAATAAATAAATAAATTCTTTAAAAAAAAAATTACTAAAACCAAGCAAACAGATGGTCGACAGGTATATGAGAAGATGCTCAGCATCACTAATTTTCAGGGGTATGCTAATTAAAGCCACAATGAGATCTCACCTTACACCTGTTAGGATGATAGTGATGATGATGATAATAATAATAATAGTAAAGCAAGTGTTGATAAGAATATGGAGAAATGAGTACCCCTGTATGATGTTGTTGGGATTGTAAATGGTGTAGCTGCTATGAAAAACAGTGCAGAGGTTCCTCAAAAAATTAAAAATAGAACTACCATATAATCCACCAACCCACTTCTGGTTCTTTACTCAAAGTATATACATATGATGAAATAGTATTCAGCCTTAATAAAGGGAAAGACTTCCAAATGCAACAACATGGATAAATTTTGAGAATGTCACACTTAGTGAAATAAATCAGTCACAGAAAGATAAGTACTGTATCATTCTCTTTGCATGAGATATCTAAAATAGTCAAATTCATAGTAGAGAGTAGAATGTTGGTTGCCAGAGCCTAGGATGAGATAGATATGGGAAGTTGCTATTCAACAGGTATTAGTGTCAGTTTAGTAAGATGAATAGGTTCTAGAGATCTCCTAAACAACAACACTGTGCTATATAGTTAAAAATACTCTATTGTAAACTTAAAAATTTGAGAGGGAAGATTCATGTTGAATGTTTCTACCAGAATAGAACAAAAAATTAAAAAGTAAGAAAAGGAACCATGCAGAAATAGAAACACAAGGAGAAAAAAAATGTTAAAAAAATAGTCTAATTGACATAAACTGTATATTGTGTCCATTAAATAAAAGTAGGGTGCTATAAAAAGCAATATTCCAATAACAAATGCAGTAACAGTGAAAAACTTGGTAGAAGGATTAGAAGTTAGGGTTGAGGAGAGAAGAGTCAGGAGGAAAATAAAGAAAAAAGATTGCAGTTTAGAGGGAAAAAAATCAGAGGAAGAGCATATAAAATCTAATATCAAATAAAAGGAGTTATAGACAAAGATAATGGAAGAAACACAGGGAAGAAAATTATAAATGTTATAATTCAAGAGCATTTCCTAGAGCTAAAGAGTATGATTTCTGTGTTAAAAGGGCCACAGTGTACCTAGCACAATAGATAAAAAACACCAAGATAGAGCATTATGCAACTTCAGAACACTAGAGAATGGGATAAAAAGAATGGGTTTATAGAATTTGAAAGAGTTTGTGATTAAATCGATGAAAAATACAGAGAAAATCAAAAGAAAAAGACTTATTGACTCTGGGGAGTGGGGGGGAGAAATGGTTGTTATGGTATACCGCAAGAGTAAATAACATTTTTATAGCAGGTTATCATCATAATGTCTACACCAAATATTGATCTAACTACATATGCAATATAATGAATTGTGGGAATTGTGAGAAAGGTGGGGACAGGGACATAAGAGAGAATAACCTCATCCTTCCATAGCGGGAATTCAATGGAAAGCTTAAAATCAAGTGATACTAGTATGTTATTTAGTGATATGATATTTAATGGGACCTAGGTATAATTTACACATAAAATATTAAGAGGAACCTCCTGTGTATGCCATCTGTCCCTTAGGTCAATAATCTTTATGGGGCACAAATCTATGAAAGAAAATAGGTTATAGCACTGAAATGGGCCAAAGATCATTTATTATCCTAATGCCATCAAGGCTTGTCTTTTTTATCTGTCTTACTCAAAATATTTAATTACCACAGCTTGGTATGGGGAACCTAAGCTGGTATGGGAACCTAAGTTGGGGCTCAGGGAGATAACCTACTATTTGTACGCTGTTCAAAGTTGTGTGCCATTTCCTCCTGCTGTTTTAGATTGGGAATGTCCCAAGTTGGAAGAACGTACACCATGCAAAAATTCCACTCTTCTGGATACCAGTACAGCAGTAGCAATAGAGAAGGTACCACAGTTTTCAAACCTCTCTGCAATTTTAGGTGAGTTTTCACATTCTTTTTTCTCATGTCACGGGGGAAACCCCCTCATCTATGTTGGAAAAAAAGTAATTTTTAAAAACTATTTATAAGCTAAATTCATCAATTAAGATTACCTTTGGCTACAAATAATATCTGACTAGTAGTAGCTTAAGCACATATGGATCTCCTTTTTTATAACTTATTTTGAACTAACTTTAGACTGCATAAAAGTTGCAAAAATAGTACAGAGAGTTCCTATATATCTTTCACCCAGCTTTCCCTAATGCTGTCTTATATAACATTAGTACAATGATCAGAATCAGAAAATGAACAATGGCATAAAACTACTAATGAAGCTACAGACGTTATTCACATTTCACCAGTTTTTCCACCAGTTTCTTTTCTTGTGTTTCAGGATCCAACATTGCATCTGGTTGTTATTTCTTCTTTAATCTACTATAGTCTGTGACAGTTTCTCCGTCTTTCTTTGTCTTTCATAGTCTTGATACCTTTGAAGATTTCTGATCAGGTATTTTGTAGAACATCCCTCAAATGGAATTTGTCTAATATCTCCTCATGATTGGAATGAATTTATTCATTTTTTAAAAGAATGCTGCAGAAATGATGTTACGCCCTTTTTAGTACATCGTATGAAGTTCTTGGTGTCAGTATATTTTATTACTGGTGATACTAAATTTCGTCATTGGATTAACATAGTGTCTGTGGTTTCCTGCATGGTTAAGTTACTAGTTTACCTTTGTGTTAACAAATATATAGAAAAGATAGTTTGAGACCCTGTAAATTCTGTTTCTCCTCAAGTTTTCATTCACTGGCATTAGTAGTCATCAGAGGATTTTGTGATGTTTATTACTCTGGTGTTCATGTAATGGTGATTTTCCATTTCACACTTTGCTGCTACATTTACTAATTGGAGTTCTACTGTAAAAGAACTATCTCTTTTCTGCCACTATTTATTCAGTTGTTTATGTCAGTATGAAGTCATGAATATTTATTTTATGTGTCCAAGTCCAATACTTTCATTATTTATTTACATATACATAGAATTCTAGTATACACATAAAGAAGTTTCAGAATTGTTAACCCAGATCCCTTTGAGAAACACACTAACTAAATAGATTATAGCATTTTTGTACAGTTCTGTTTGTTATTACTATTACTCTTGTTATTACTATTACAAATTAAAATAATGTTTTCCGAAGCTATATATACAGGTTAGTTCTTTTCTTCCCTTCCCCTTGCAGTACAGTTGGTATTCACTTGGAATATACTTAGATTGATTTGTTAGTGTTGGATTCAGTTTTTCATTCCCCATCCTATTTGTTGTTTGTTTGTTTCTTTATTCAGAGAGAAGGGGCTATGTGAAGGTGTGTGAAACATTGTTGTGGTTCTGAGAGTCAAAGCTGTAAGAAATATGTATATTCTCAGAAAATATCACTTCCTCCTTCCTGCTACTCTGATCCAATTCCCCTCTTCTTTCTACACCTTTCCCATCCAACCATTATAAGTAACTAGTCTCTTTAGTTTATGGTTTATCCTTCTTATATTTCTTTTGTATGTATTTTCTTACATCTTCTTCTTTCTTGCATGGAGCTTAGCATACATATAGATATACTTTTTATTTTGTTTTTTTCCATCCACATAATAGTAGGTACTAGAAATCACTGCAGATCTTATAGAGATCTTCCTCATTTTTATTTGATAGCTACATACTCCACTGTATGGATGCACTTTTGTTTATTTAACCGCTCTTTCATGAATAGGGTGTGCAGGGGTTTTTCCCCCAATATTTTGCCACTACAAATAATGTGTTAATGAATAAATTTATTATATATATCTTTCATATTATTGATGGAATATCTTCAAGGTAGATTCTCAGAATTAGGATGACTGAGTCAAAAGGTAAGTGGATTTATATTTTGTCGAATATTGCCAAATTTTCCTCCAGAAAGATTAAACCTGTTTGCATTTCCACCAGCAAAGTATTACAGTGCTTGTTTCCTCATATCCTCACCAACAAAATATATTGTCATATTTTAAAATTTTTAAATTTTTCTACCCTAATAGGTGAGAAATGATATCTCAGTGTTATTTTAATCTGTGTTTTATTGTCTGTGAGTTTAACATTTTCATATGTTTGAGAGCCATTTTTGTTTTCTGTGTGTGTGTGTGTGTGTGTGTGTGTGTGTGAATTTTCCTTTCATGCTTTTTCCCCATTTTTCATCTTTACTCTCCCTCTCTAGGTTCATTAGATATTAAGTATATTAGCCTTTTCCTAAAGACTCCAATCAAAAGACATAGGGTGACAGAATGGACTAAATGAAAAAAACCAATCTATATGCTGCCTGTAAGACTCATCTCAGACCTAAAGACATATACAGACTGAAAACGAAGGGATAGAAAAACATTTACCATGCACATGTAAATAAAAAAAGGCCAGGGCAGCAACACTTTAATCAGACAAAATAATCTTTAAAACAAAGACTGTAACAAGAGACAAAGAAAGGCATTACATAATGATAAAGGGATAAATCCAGTGAGAGAATATAACAGTAGTAAATATTTACATATCCAATATTGAAGCACCTAAGTACATAAAGCATATGTTAATGGACATAAAGATAGTAGTACAATAATACTATGGGACTTTAACAACCCATTTAAATCAATTGATAGATCATCCAGACAGAAAATCAATAAGGAAATGGTGTCTTTGAATGACACATTACACCAGATGAACATAACAGATACATACAAAACATTTCATCCAAACAAGAGAATATATATATTCTTTTCAAGTGTTCATGGAATATTCTTGGGAACAGATTGCATATTAAGCCAGAAAGCAAGTCTTAGTAAATTTAAGAAGGTTGAAATCATACTAGGTGTCTTTCCTGACCACAACAATATAAAACTAGATATGATTCACAAGAAAAAAACTGGGAAATAAACCCCCAAAACATGTGGAGACTAGACAGTATAATATAAAACAACCAGTGAGTCAACAAAGAAATCAAAGGGGAAATCAAAAATTATATAGAGACACAAGAAAATGAAAACATAACGGTTCCAAACCTTTAAGACAAACAGTTCTAAGAGTGAAATATAAAGTGGTAGAGGTCTACCTGGAGAAACAAGAAAAAGCTCAAATAAATTGTCTAATTTTAATCCCAAAGTAACTAGAAAAAGAACAAACAAAGCCCAAGATGAGTAGAAAGAAGGAAAAAATAAAGTTCAGAGCAGAAATAAATGTTATAGAGACTAAAACAAAAACAAAAAAACAATGGAACAGATCAATGAATGCAGGAGCTTGTTCTTTGAAAAGAAACAAAATTGATAACCCCTCAGCCAGATGCATCAAGAAAAAAAGAGGAAACGCCCAAATAAATACAACCAGAAATGAAGGAGAAGTAATACTGACTCTAGAAATATAAAAGATGATAAGAGAATAATATGAAAAATTATCTCCCAAAATTGGACACTATAGAAGAAATGGGTGAATTACTAGTAACACACAATCTTCCAAACTGAATCAGGAAGAAGTAGAAAATCTTAACAGACCAGTTACTAGTAACATAATTGAATCAGTACTTAAAAAACTACCAAAACATAAAAGTCTGGGACCAGATGGATTCACAGGTGACTTCTACCCAGCATTTAAAAAAGAGTTAATACTTATTCTTCCCAAACTTTTCCCAAAAAAAAATAGAAGAGGAAGGAAAGCTGCTAAATTCATTCCACAAGGCCAGTATTACCATGATAACAAACCAGACAAATATGCACACACGGAAAGGAGGAAGCAAGGAAGGAAGGAAGGAGGAAGAAAGGAAGGAAGGAGAGAGGGAGACAGAAAGAAAGATAGTTATAGGTCAAAATTCTGAATGAACATAATTGCAAAAAATCCTCAGTAAAATACTAGCAAACCACATCCAACAATACATTAAAAACATCATTCACTGCTATCAAGTGGGATTTATTATGGGGATGCAAGGATGGTTCAGTATTTGCAAATCAATCAACATGATATACCACATCATATGATTATCTCAGTACATGCAGAAAAAGCATTTAACAAAATTTTACATCTATTCATGTTAAAAAAACTTCCCACAAAGTGGTTTTAGAGGGAACACACTTCAACATAATAAGGCCATCTATGAAAAAAAGCCACAGTTGATATCATACTTAATGATAAAAAACTGAGAGCTTTTCCTAGATCAGGAACAAGATAAGGATATCCTTTCGTTCTACTTTTCTGCTACTACAGCATAGTGTTAGACATCCTAGCTAAAGCAATCAAACAAGAAAAAGAAATAAGAGGCATCCATATCAGTAAGGAAGAAGTTAAACTGTCATTTGCAGATGACATGATACTATAGATAGAAGACCCTAAAGACTTTACCAAAAAACTATTAGAACTAATAAATAAACTCAATAAAGTTTAAGGATACAAAATTAATACCCAGAAATTGGTAACAGTTCTATACACTGATAGTGAAGTAGCTGAAAGAGAAATTAAGAAAACAACTCCATTTATAATTGCCCAAAAAAGAATAAAATACCTAGGAATAAACTTAACCAAGGAGGTGAAAGATATGTACTCTGAAGATTATGGAACATTGATGAAAAACACTGAAGAGAACACAAACAAATGGGAAGATATTCCATGCTCATGGATTAGAAGAATTAATATTTTTTAAATGTCCATACTTCCAAAAACAATCTAAAGAGTTATTGCAATCCCTATCAAAATACCAATAGCATTTTTCACAGAACTAGAACAAATAATCCTAAAATTTGTGTGGAACTACAAAAGACCCCAAATGGCCAACACAATATTGAGAAAGAACGAAACTAGAGGTGTTGTACTTCCAGTTTTCAAGATATACTACAAAACTGTAGTCAAAACAGCATGGTTCTGACACAAAAACAGACACATAGATCAATGGAACAAAATAGAGAGCCCAGAAATAAAACCATGCTTATATGGGCAGTTAATCTGTGACAGAGGAGACAAGAATATACAATGAAGAAAATGCTTCTTCAATATATGCTGCTGGGAAAACTGGACAGCTATGTGCAAAAGAATGAAACTGGGCAACTTTCTTACATCATACACAAAATAAACTCAAAATGGATTAAAAACCTACATATGAGACCTGAAACCATAAAAATCCTAGGAGAGAATACAGGCAGTACTTTCTTTTATATCAGCCATAGCACTATTTTTCTAGATATGTCTCCTGAGGCATGGGAAACAAAAGGAAAAATAAACTATTGGGACCACATTAAAAAGCTTTTGTACAATGAAGGGAACCATCAATCAAACAAAAAGGCAACCTAATGAATGGGAGAAGCTATTTGCAAATGATATATCTAATAAGGGGTTAATATCCAAAATATATAAAGAACTTCTACAATTCAACACCAAATAACCAAACAATCCAATTTAAAAAAATGGGCAGGGTGGGGCACCTGGGTGGCTCAGTGGGTTAGCTTCTGCCTTTGGCTCAGGTCACGGTCTCAGGGTCCTGGACTGGAGCCCCGCATCAGGCTCTCTGCTCAGCGGGGAGCCTGCTTCCCCCTCTTTGCCTGCCTCTCTGCCTACTTGTGATCTCTCTCTCTGTCAAATAAATAAATAAAAACTTTTTTTTAAAAAATGGGCAGGGTACCTGAATAGACGTGTTTCCAAAGACATACAGATGGCCAACAGACAAATGAAAAGATGCTACACATCACTAATCATCAGGAAAATACAAGTCAAAACCACATACCTGGCAGAATGGCTAAAATAAAAAGACAAGAAAAATCAATTGTTGGTGAGGATGTGGAGAAAAAGCAATGCTTCTAAATACGAATCAAAACCACAATGAGATAACACCTCATACCAGAAAGAATGGCTAAAATTAGCAATTCAGGAAACAACAGATGTTGGTGAGGATGCAGAGAAAGGGGAACCCTCAAGATACAAACAGTGATTCAAAGGGGCACATACATCCCGATGTTTATAGCAGCAAGGTCCACAAAGCCAAACTGTTGAAAGAGCCCAGATGTCCATTGACAAATGAATGAATAAGGAAATGTCACACACACACACACACACAGAGGAATATTACTCAGCCATCAAAAAGAATGAAATCTTGCTATTTACAGTGACATGGATGAAACTAGAGGGTATTATGCTAATCAAAACAGTCAGAGAAAGATAAATACCATATGTTTTCACTCATATGTGGAATTTAAGAAACAAAACCAACGAACATAGGGGAAGGGAAGGAAAAAGAAAATAAGAGGAAAACAGAGGGAGAGGCAAATCCTAAGAGAGTTTTAACTAAAGGAAACAAACTGAGAGTTGCTGGAGGGTAGATGGGTGGGAAGATAGGGTAATTGGGTGATGGGCAATAAGGAGGGGACTTGAAGTAATGAGTACTGGGTATTGTATGTAAATGATGAATCACTAAATTCTACCTTTGAAACTAAGATTACAGTATGTATTATATTGAATTGAAAAACAAATTTTTAAAAAAATATCTTATTTGAGAGAGAGAGCACATGAGGACAGGCACGGGGAAGGGAGAGAGGGAGAAGCAGGCTATCCACTGAGTAGGGAACCCAACTTGGGACTCAATCCCAGGACCCCAGGATCATGACTGAAGCTGAACTCAGATGTCTAATGGGTGCCCATTAAATACAAAATTATTTTTAAAAAAAGAACTCTTATCCACTTTTGGTGGGAATGTGAGTTGGTACATCCACTGTGGAAAACAGTATGGATTTTCCTCAAAAAACAGAAGTAGCATATGATCCAGTATTTCCACTAGTGGGTATTTACTCAAAGAAAACAAAACCACTAATCTGAAAAGATTACATGCTCCCCTATGTTTTGTAGCATTATTTGCAATAGCCAAGATATGGAAGCAATCCAAGTATACATAGATGGACAAATGGATAAGAAAGATATGGTGTGTGTGTACACACACATACATGAATATTATGCAGCCATAAAAATGTTTGAGCTCTTGCCTTTGCAACAACATGAATGGACCTAGCATGTATTATGTTAAGCAAAAATAAGTGAGACTGAGAAAGACAAATACCATATGATTTCACATGTGTGGAATCTAAAAAACAAATCAAATTAAGAAACAAAAAAACAGGGGCACCTGGCTGGCTCATTTGGAAGAACATGCGACTCTTGATCTCAGAGTTGTGAGTTCAAGCACCATGTTGGGTATAGAGATTACTTAAATAAATAAAAGTTAAAAGAATTTAAAAAAACAAACAAAAAAACAGAATCAGATATGTAAACACAGACAACAAACTAATGGTTCCCAGAGGGAAAAGGGATGGGGTATAGGCAAAATGGGAGTAGGAAAGGAAGAGGAGTAGGAAACACAGGCTTTTAGTTATGGAATGAATTAAGTCAGGAGTATTGTAATAGCATCCTGTGGTGACAAACGGTAGCTACACTTGTGGTGAGCATAATATAATGTACAGAGAAGTTAAATCCCTATGTTGTACACATAAAACTAATGTAATGTGTGTTACCTATACTCAAAAAAATTTTTTAAAGAATATTAGCCTTTTGTCTTTGGTATATATTATGAATATTTTCCCCAGTTTGTCAGTTGTCTTTTTGTGTATGTTATTTTTTGTCATGCAAAAAAATGTTTATTTATATTGGATTTACTTCTCTTCCCAGGCCAGAGCTAATGTAGCAGCTTACTAATATCATTAAGATCCTATAGTCAGGGTGCCTGGGTGGCTCAGTGGGTTAAGCCGCTGCCTTCGGCTCAGGTAATGATCCCAGGTCCTGGGTTCAAGCCCCACATCGGGCTTTCTGCTCAGCAGGGAGCCTGCTTCCTCCTCTCTCTCTGCCTGCCTCTCTGCCTACTTGTGATTTCTCTCTGTCAAATAAATAAATAAAATCTTAAAAAAAAATAAATAAAATTAAAAAAAAAAAGATCCTATAGTCATTATATCTTTCTACCACCAAGTGTGTTGGATTGTTTCCTCATAATTGTAGAATGGTTGCTAAGCCTCTGGGTATCACAGCAGTTCCAGGGAAAAAGAATGAGAAAAGGCTGTACTAGCCATATACATCTCTTTTTATCAGAAGACTCAAAGCTTTCCAAGAAATTGCCCAGAAGACTTCTTTTAGATCTATTGGCCAGGACTGAGTCATATGCCTATTGACTACTTGGGAGACTTCTTTGATAAAGTTTATGAAACAAAACAAAACAAAACAAAAAGCAAGTTTTTCATTCTCTCATTCTCTATATTGGTATAAAGCAAGGAGAAATGGAAAAGAATGGAGAGGAGGAATGGGAATGGATGATGTCAGCTCACCTCTCAGAGCCTGCCAAAAAGGGATAGGGGCTCCTGGGTGGCTCAGTGAGTTAGAGCCTCTGCCTTTGGCTCAGGGTCCTGGGATCAAGCCCCGCATTGGGCTCTCTGCTCAGCGGGGAGCCTGCTTCCCCCTCTGTCTCTCTGCCTACTTGTGTTCTCTGTCTGTCAAACATATAAATAAAATCTTTTTTAAAAAGCAGGGATAAATAATATCAAAGAATTAAGCATTGATTATATGGTCCCTTAAAGGAGAGTTGATAGCTGTCTGGATGGCAGTATTGCAAACGGTTCAAAAACCTTGTCTTCTATGTTATGCTTAGTTTGGCAACTCCTTTGCTGATATAAAGTGCACAAAGAAGCAGCCTATCTCTTTAGTGAGTGTTTCAGTTAGGTTCTTTGTCCACTGCAGGTGACCAAAAAAAAATAAGTAAGTAAGAAAAAGAAAAGAAAATCCCACCTCAAATAATTTATCATGTTAAAAAAGGAAGTTATTACCACATATACCTGAAAAATCTAGCAGTAAATTATATGCAAATACAACTTGATCCAGAATTTCAAATGACAGCAATAGGAACCAATTCCTTTCCATCTCTAAGCTCATCGTCCCTCTATGCCAGTTAAACTCTCAGCTAAGCTCCCCCTTCATATAGCAACTCTTTTTAGGTCCAGGCTTATATACTTACAGCCTCAAATCCAGTGAACAAAGTGCTTCTCTTTACCAATGATTTGAATAAAAGTCCTGATGTTACACATTGGCTAAAATTATTTCATATGCCTATCCTTGAACAGTCCATTTGCGCAGGAAGATGCAGGGCTCCTGTTATATTAAGTCACAGGCCTTGTCTAGCTCATCAAAGGAAAAGCAAGAGACTATTATCAGCAAAAGCAGAGAGTAGTGCACTGTAGTCTTTTATATATTTTAGGAACCTCCATTTCAGGGAAATGCTTCTCAGTGATTATTAGATATCATTCACTTCACTTTTACTTACCTGTAAAATTCTAATTAAATATAAGCAGACTACTGCAGCTGATTAGGGTCATAAGTTCTTCAGAAGACTACTCCCATGATTCTTTATGTTCCTAAGTAATAGCATAGTGGATCTGGACTGTAAAATGTTGACTGGTAGGCATTTTCTTGGCTAATCAGTCTAATGTATATATCTATATGCTTGGTACTAGATTAAGAACCATGAGATCTGAGTTTAAGTTCCAGGTATGCAGCTGTTAGTTTTATAACTTGACAAGTTATTTTTTTCATATATGTAGCATAGGAATAGTAAATTGTTACATTTGCCTCACAGGACTATTATAAGAATCAAGAAAGAGCCAAGATTGGAAAGGACTTCAAAAATTATAAGTATCCAAATATAGGCTGATAGATTCCTACATCTCATAAAATTTCCCAGCAATTTTGTTGGGTTTATTTTGGTATTTTGAAAATACTTCTACCTAAGTTAAGTGACAGACATAAAAATAATATGAAAAAATAAAATTATAAAAATAAACTATACTATCACCATATACTTTAGAGAGAATATTTCTTTTTACTTAATTTTTGCCTCTGGTCTCTATTTGAATTATATTTCTAATAGATTGATTTTTTCCCCTTTCCTAGGTATGTCTTCAGAAGACTATCAGAAATGCCAGAGAGAAATGTAAGAACTAACATTTTAAAATTGTGCTTTTGAAAACCCTGTGTTCTAATAGTTACATACCTGGAGTGATTATTAGCCCACAAATTCAGGTGTTCATTTATTCATGGTTGGTTGAGGAATCATTATGTGGCAAAAGTATGCTAATTGCTAGAGAAATATTGTAATGAATGAAATTGATTAAAAACAAAATCCTTGCCTTCATCAAGTCCACATTTTAGTTGGAAGAGGTAGACAATAAATAAGTGAGTAAATTTATACTATTCTATGTGGTAAGGAATCCTACAGAGAAAAAGTAAAATGGGGGTGAGAGAGTATTGGAATGGAGGCTCACTATTTTAAGTAGTGTTGTCAGAGAAGTCGTAACTGAAATTTGAGCAGAAACCTAAAGAAGACAGAGCAAGATGTGTGACTCATAGGAGAGAAGAGTAATAGTTGGAGCACAAACCCACGGCAAGAAGGCCTGGGTTCTAGGAGTGGAATGTGGGAAGAGGAGAAAGGAAGTGAAAGAAGCAGCGGAGGCCATATCACATAAGACAATGTAAGTGAATATAAGTGGATTGGAAAGCCTTTGAAAGGTTTAGAAGGGTGACATGATATAACTTAGATTTTAGGGGCGCCTGGGTGGCTCAGTGGGTTAAAGCCTCTGCCTTCTGCTTAGGTCATGATCCCGGGGTCGTGGGATCAAGCCCTGCATCGGGCTCTCTGCTTAGCAGGGAGCCTACTTCCTCCCTCTCTCTGCCTGCCTCTTTGCCTACTTGTGATCTCTGTCTGTCAAATAAATAAATAAAAATCTTTAAAAAAAATAACTTAGGTTTTAAAAGAATCACCCTGGCTGTTGTGTTGAGAATAAATTTTGAAGAGACAAGGAATTAGGGAGATTATAGTTAGGAGACTGTTGTCATAATCTAAGCAAGAGATATTGGACTGGATTGGTGAGAGTAAAGGTAGAGAGGTCAGATTTTGCATATATTTTGAAAGCAGAACTAACAGGATAGACTGTTACTTGTTGATGTTCTGAATGGTAGAGTATGAAAATAGTGAAGACTGACTCCACAGTTTTGGCTTCAGCAACTAGAAGGATGGTGTTGTCATTTATTAAAATGGGAGAGACTAAAGAAAAGCATTGCTGAGCAAAGATCAAGGATTTGGTTTGGGGCTTGTAGACTAAGGGGTAAGGCATATGTGAGAGAGACAGTATCTAAATTGAAGGAGGTAATCATAATCTGGATCGTAAATGGCCTTAGGGGCTGGGATTTTTATTTTCTCTTGAAAGTGATGGGAGTCTCTGAAAGATTTTCAGTAAACCTATAAAATATAACAAAAATTTTAAACACTTTAATTTTCAAAGTTTGAAGGAACTTGCAAAAAATTCATACAAGTTTAAAAACAAATCCAGGAGACACCATAAAGAAAATGACAAGACAGTCTGTAGGATGGAATAAAATATTTGCAGATTATCTATCTGATAAGGGACTTGTATCTGGAATATATAAAGAATTCTTGAAGTGCCTGGGTGGCTCAGTTAAGCGTCTGCCTTTGGCTGGGGTCATGATCTCAGGGTCCTGGGATCGAGCCCCATGTTGGGCTCCCTGATCATCAGGCAGGCTGCTTCTCCCTCTCCTTTCCAGTCGTGCTCTCTCTCTCACTATCTCTGGTTCTCTCTCTCTCTCTCAAAGGAACAAATAAAATCTTTTTAAAAAAATTTAAAAAAGAATTCTTAACAACTCACAATAAAAGAAAAAAATAACTCAATTTAAAAATGAGCAAAGGATCCAAACAGGCATTTCTCCATAGAAGATACATAAATGGTCGAGTTTCATTCTTCTACATATAGCTGTCCAGTTTTCCCAGCACCATTTATTGAAGAGACTGTCTTTTTTCCACTGTATATTTTTTCCTGCTTTGTCGAAGATTATTTGACCATAGAGTTGAGGGTCCATATCTGGGCTCTCTACTCTGTTCCACTGGTCTATGTGTCTGTTTTTATGCCAGTACCATGCTGTCTTGGTGATCACAGCTTTGTAGTAAAGCTTGAAATCAGGTAACGTGATGCCACCAGTTTTACTTTTGTTTTTCAACATTTCCTTAGCAATTCGGGGTCTCTTCTGATTCCATACAAATTTTAGGATTATTTGCTCCAGCTCTTTGAAAAATACCGGTGGAATTTTGATCAGAATGGCATTAAAAGTATAGATTGCTCTAGGCAGCATAGACATTTTAACAATGTTTATTCTTCTGATCCAAGAGCATGGAATGGTCTTTCATCTTTTTGTGTCTTCTTCAATTTCTTTCATGAGAGATCTGTAGTTCCTCGAGTACAGATCCTTTACCTCTTTGGTTAGGTTTATTCCCAGGTATCTTATGGTTCTTGGTGCTATAGTAAAAGGAATCGACTCTCTAATTTCCCTCTCTGTATTTTCATTGTTAGTGTATAAGAAAGCCACTGATTTCTGTACATTGACTTTGTATCCTGCCACATTACTAAATTGCTGTATGAGTTCTAGTAGTTTGGGGGGTGGAGTCTTTTGGGTTTTCCATATAAAGTATCATGTCATCTGTGAAGAGAGAGAGTTTGACTTCTTCATTGCAAATTTGGATACCTTTTATTTCTCTTTGAAACTCGACCATTCTCTTATACCATATACAAAGATAAACTCGAAATGGATAAAAGACCTCGACGTGAGACAGGAATCCATCAGAATTCTAGAGGAGAACATAGGCAGTAACCTCTTCAATATCAGCCACAGCAACTTCTTTCAAGATATGTCCCCAAAGGCAAAGGAAACAAAAGCGAAAATGAACTTTTGGGACTTCATCAAGATCAAAAGCTTCTGCACAGCAAAGGAAACAGTCAACAAAACAAAGAGGCAACCCACGGAATGGGAGAAGATATTTGCAAATGACAGTACAGACAAAAGGTTGATATCCAGGATCTATAAAGAACTTCTCAAACTCAACACACACAAAACAGACAATCATATCAAAAAATGGGCAGAAGATATGAACAGACACTTCTCCAATGAAGACATACAAATGGCTATCAGACACATGAAAAAATGTTCATCATCACTAGCCATCAGGGAGATTCAAATTAAAACCACAGTGAGATACCACCTTACACCAGTTAGAATGGCCAAAATTAGCAAGACAGGAAACAACGTGTGTTGGAGAGGATGTGGAGAAAGGGGAACCCTCTTATACTATTGGTGGGAATGCAAGTTGGTGCAGCCACTTTGGAGAACAGTGTGGAGATTCCTTAAGAAATTAAAAATAGAGCTTCTCTATGACCCTGCAATTGCACTACTGGGTATTTATCCCAAAGATACAGATGTAGTGAAAAGAAGGGCCACCTGTACCCCAATGTTTATAGCAGCAATGGCCACGGTCGCCAAACTGTGGAAAGAACCAAGATGCCATTCAACGGACGAATGGATAAGGAAGATGTGGTCCATATACACTATGGAGTATTATGCCTCCATCAGAAAGGATGAATACCCAACTTTTGTATCAACATGGATGGGACTGGAAGAGATTATGCTGAGTGGAATAAGTCAAGCAGAGACAGTCAATTATCATATGGTTTCACTTATTTGTGGAGCATAACAAATAACATGGAGGACATAGGGAGATGGAGAGGAGAGGGGAGTTGGGGGAAATTGGAAGGGGAGGTGAACCATGAGAGACTATGGACTCTGTAAGACAACCTGAGGGTTTTGAAGGGGCGGTGGTGGGAGGTTGGGGGAGCCAGGTGGTGGGTATTAAGGAGGGTACATATTGCATGGAGCACTGGGTGTGGTGCAAAAAACAATGAATTCTGTTACACTGAAAAGAAATTTAAAAAGAAGAAGAAGATACATAAATGGCAAAAAAATACATGAAAAGATGCTCAGCATCATTATCCATTAGGGAGATGCGGGTCAACTTGAATGAGAATCACTTCATACTCACTAGGATGGCTATAATTAAAAATACTGATAATAACTATTATATTGTATATGGAAAAATTGGTACTCTCATACATTGCTGGTGGGAATTTAAAATGGTGAAGGTGCTTTGGGAAAATAGTTTGGTAGTCCCTCAAAATGTTACATGTGACCCAGCAATCCTCTCCTAAGTATGCATACATGAGAAAAGTGGAAACACGTGTCCATACAAAAACTTGTCATGAATGTTCACAGAAACTTTATTCATAATAGCCAAAAAAGTAGAAACAGTCCAAATGTCTATCTGCTAATGAATGTAGAAATAAAATATGGTATAGACATATGGAATATTATTCAATAATAAAAAATGAAATTCTGATATATACTACAATGTGGATGAACCCCAGACATACTCTAAGTGAAAGAAGCCAGTCATATAAGACCACATACTTTATAGTTGCATTCATATGAGGTATCCAGAATAGACAAATCTGTATAGACAGAAAGATTAGTGATTGCTTAAGTCTAGGGTGTTTGGGAAGAAATAGGGACTGACTGCTTCATGGGTATAGGGTTTCTTTTTGGGGTGATGAAAATGTTCTAAAATTAAATGTATGACAGTTGCACAACTCTCTAAATATATTAAAAGCCGAATATACACTTTATATGGGTGAATTGTGTGATATGTGAATTGCATCAATAAAACTTTAAAAAAAGCTAAGACTTAGGAAACCAAGGAAATATCATTTTTAATAGAAAATACAGGTAGTAAAGATAATAGACCAAAAATAAATAAGCTATAAGTGTTAACAGTCAGATGATTTAATTGAACCACATTTTGGCTCTCAGCTTTTTGAGATACAAGGAAAAGTCCTATAGCTATTTGATAGATTTTGTGTCTGTCAAATAATGTTACAACTCTTACTATCTTATAAATTGATTTTGTAAATTAGAATTAAATAGTAGATGGTACAATGTTATCTTCCTTGGTGGGTCTTTATGATTTAGGTATTCTGTGCTGATGAGTTTATGAGGGTGAGGATTACTATACTTTTATAGGGCAGATCTCTGTAGAACTTTTACATTACTCAATCAAAATTCTTGCCTGTTATCCCACCTGTTCACAGACATATGCATGATAATATTTCTGTCTTAGAATAATCACTTTTGCAACAAAGAAGAAGGATTAGAAAGAGTGATTAGATTGAAGGAATGTCTTTTGTAGCATTTCAAGTGAGGGTAATTAGGACCTGAACTTTATCAGCAAGGACAGCAAAAAGGGAAAACTTCAGAACAATTCAGAAGGGGTAATCAGTAATTTTTAATGTTTGGTTGGTTAAGGGAGGAAGGTGGATGTCCGACATGGTTTCTAGCCCTCTGACTTAGGAAACTGGGTAAATGATGACTAATTCATTGGATGAAGGAACACAAACAGAAAAGCAAGAGTGAGTTGGCGTGACAGATAATTTTAGTTTGGAAAATACTGAAGTACCTAGAACACTTTGAGGTGGTTTTATCAGGCAAGTAGTTATATATTCCAGCCTAGTTAGCAAGGGAATGATTCTGGGCTGAAGGGATCGTTGTCACCCTAGGAAATTGTGTGGAGTGAGAAAAGAATAGCATTAGTGCGAAAGCCTCCTTACAAATATGCTTGTATCTAAGTGGTAAAAAATTTCTGAAGAAAAGGGAATATTTTACAGGCATACCTCATTTTATTTGTACTTCTTCTTATTGTGCTTCACGGATTTTACATTTTTTACAAATTGAAGGTGAGCAACGATGAAAATTCTGAAGACAAATTACTAACATCACCAGAGAGAAATGATGATATATAATTTTAAATCCTTTCTACAATTTACAGTGCAATATATTTTTAGGAAGAAAGGAGAGTTTGGATAGTAATAGTAATTATACCACTTTTGACTATTAGTTATTTTTGGCATTCTCTTTAATTAAGTACGCATTCACAAAGTTAAAATCCTACAACTTTGACATAATACCTAAGAAAGAAAGGGAGTTTTGTTTATATTGATGAAAGATATGTATATACCCAGTTCAATGAGTGTTGCCTATATATTGCATGGAGCAAATGTAATACAGTGCTTGATTATGTGTATCTGATCTTATTTTCTGTCCCCCCTAAATGTTGCCCTATCTTTAAAAAATAAAATGTACCACATGGTTATGTAGAGAAAATAGAGCTTTCATCTTTCTTCTCTTCCCTTCCCTTCTCTCTTTCCTTTCCTTTCCTTTGCTTCCTCCCTTCCTCCTTGCCTCCCTTCCTTCCTTCCTTAAGTTTGTATGTATGTATCTATTTATTTGCTTCTCTATTTTTAAAGGTTTATTTATTTAAGAGAGAGAGAGTTCAAGCTAGGAGATGAGTAGGGGGAAAGGAGATAAGCAGACTGCCCACTGAGCAGGGAACCTGATGTGCGGGCTCAATCCCAGGACCTTGAGATCATGACCTGAACCAAGACCTGACCTGAATCAAGAGTAGGACACTTAATGGACTGAGCCACCCAGGCACTCTTAAAATTTTTATTTAAATTCCAGTTAGTGAACATGAAGTGGTATATTAGTTTCATATGTAGTTTATTTATTTTTAAAATTAATTGACTTCAACTTCTCATAGGCTCTCCTTTCCCTTCTCTCCTTTTTAGCTTGGAAATGATGAGTTAAACTTATTAGTGCCATCCACTTACTTCCAGTTAAAAGTCTCTTTTGGGTGAATGCTGAACCTTACAGATTTTTTTTTCCTTATTACATATTCCTGAGTATGGCATATAGGTAGATTATCATACCTCTTGATTTGCCTGGGACTGTCCTAGTATGTGTCTACTGTTCTGACATAAATTTTAGTAGAACTCCCTTTTACTCTTGGAAAGGTGCCAGTTTGAATAAATGGTCACCCTAAATATAGGCTCCTTATAGGTACAGGAACAAGCCAGAGCTGGGGGAGGGGTAAAGTTGGGGCTTTGAGGTTGTTTGGGATCTACGTGTTGTCTCTGGACTTATATTAATTTATGGTAGAGGTTTTAAGACTGGTTCTGTACCTGGGCTAGACTCTGCTGATAAAATTTTTGGTGAACTTACATCCTTATTTAGGGCCTGAGATCCTCCATTGCTGATTTCTTTCTCACCTTACCTTTTGTTGCTACCCAAAACTCCTTGGATGTCTTTGAAGTCCTCCAACTTTATTTTGACTTGATTGCCTTTCTGCAACCTTTGTGGTAGAGTAGTGGTAGTGGCCCAAGTCAAGTATTTTGGTTCTAATTTGAGCACCTTCTGCACTGCCCTTGGTATTTGGAACCTTGAGAACTCATTCACAATCTACAGGAATTAAGGGACTCTCAAGGAGGGCTAACTGAGGTCTCCTGAACACTGAATAGTCCAAACTCTTATTTCGATGTTGAATTTCTGCCCTTTGTGGATATCTCCACCTAGAGTGAATTTGGCACATGCCCCCTCTGCTTTTGGCTTTCTCTTCACCTCTTCTAATGTCATCTAATGTCATCTTTGTACCTAGTACTCCCACTTCCAGATTTAGGGCTTGATGGAGAGAAGTCAGTTCCCACTGTCAAACTGCTTATTTCCCAAGACGCTGTCCCCTTTTTCTTAGCAGTAGTCCTCTAGGTGGAAGGCATGGAGCAGGAATCTATCTTTGGTCACATCCTGAATTTTTTCTACACTCTGTAACAAATAGTAAAACTCTGTGGTTTTCACCTACATATGTTAAGAGGAACTTGAGGAACATACCAGGATATTAAATGTGGCTTTCAAATAGTCTTAGAACTTGAACAGGGACCTCAATAGATGAAAACAAAATAAATTGATAGGTACCCCCATTCCCATTTTTATTACCCCAAAATGACTGTTTTATTATATAAGAGAATACCATAAAAACAATGAGATACACCTAAAAGTTCATTCAGGGGCAAGAAAGTACTATTTTTGACAGGATTTATTTAAAAAGAAAATAGGATAGAATAAAATTGGGTTTTTTCTTCATTTTTTTAAATTAACATAATGTATTATTGGTTTCAGGGGTTCAGGCTTGTGATTCATCACTCTTATATAATACCCAGTGCTTATTACAACACATACCCTCCCTAATGTCCATACCCAGAGTTACATAATCCCTACACTCCTCTCCCCTCTAACAACCCTCAGTTATTTTCCTTTGATTAGGAGTCTCTTATGGTTTGTCTCCCTCTCTGGTTTCATCTTGTTTCATTTTTTCCTCTCTTCCCCTATGATCCTCTGCCTCGTTTCTTAAATTCCACATATCAGTGAGATCATAGGATAATTATCTTTCTCTGATTGAATTATTTCACTTGGCATAATACCCTCTGGTTCCATCCACATTGTTGCAAATGGCAAGATTTCATTTTCTGATGGCTGCGTAATACTCTGTTGTGTGTGTATATGTATATATACCACAACTTTATCCATTCATCTGTCAATGGACATCTGGGATTTTTTCATAGTTTGGCTATTGTGGACATTGCTGCTATGAACATTGGGGTGCAGGCACCCCTTCGGATCATTATATTTGCATCTTTGGGGTAAATACCCAGTAGTGCAATTGCTGGGCTGTAGGGTAGTTCTGTTTTCAACTTTCAACTCCATACTCCAGAGAAGCTGCACCAGCTCGCATTCCCACTTGGGTTCCACTTTCTCCACATCCTCACCAACATCTGTCATTTCCTAACTTGTTAATTTTAGCCATTCTGACTGGTGTGAGGTGGTATCTCATTGTGGTTTTGATTTATGTTTCCCTGATACTAAGGGATGTGGTGGATTTGTTCATGTGTCTGTTGGCCATTTGGATGTCTTCTTTGCAGAAATGTCTATCCATGTCCTCTGTCCATTTCTCAATTGGATTATTTGTTCTTTGGGTGTTGAGTTTGATAAGTTCTTTAGAGATTTTGGATACTAGCCCTTTATCTGATATGTCATTTGCAAATATCTTCTCCCATTCTGTCAGTTGTCTTTTGGTTCTGTCAACTATTTCCTTTGCTGTGCAAAAGCTTTTTATCTTGATGAAGCCCCAGTAGTTCATTTTTGCCTTTGTTTCCATTTCCTAAAATTTTTTTTGCTTACTGAATTCAATTGTTCAATAAGCCAACAATAGGAATTTAGAAAATTATCTTCTCGTATTTGGTTTTCAACTCCATTGTCTTGCCAGGAACTCAGAAATCCCATTTTGGTGGCCAAAGGCTGAGCTTTGATCCTTTGGTATTCCTCTTGTAATTCTTTCATACACATTTCAATAGAATTGGGAGTGGTATAATTTGTAAAAGACAAAAGGATCGGGGTGCCTGGGTGGCTAAGTCAGGTAAGCAGTTAAAGTTAGGTCATGATCCCAGTGTCCTGGGACTGAGCCATGCATTGGGCTCCCTGCTCAGTGGGGAGTCTGCTTCTCCCTCTCCCTTTTCCTCTGCCCTACCCCCACTCATGCTCACATTCTCTCAGATAAATAAATAAATAAATAAATAAAATCTTAAATAAAAAAAGAGAAAAAAGGATAGTAATTTTTTTAAAAGTATTATATTTAATGTTACTTGAGATTGTTACCACAAGAATCCTGGGAAACAAGATTGCCTTTTTTTTTTTTTCTTTTAAATAAATGAGGAAAACAAGAGTCAAGACAAGTTAAGTAAATTTCCAAGACCACTCAAGTGTGAGTAGCAGGACTGGGCTTTAACCCTAGGTCTGTCTGATTCTGAACACTATACCTTTTCCTTTATTTGTATTGTCTCACACTGAAAAATGTATAAATATATTGCTTTTTATTATTAAACTACTTTTTCATATAGATACAGGAACATTTTTAACCAGTTATATTTTTTCTACAGGACATTTGATATAAATATAAATATTATTATTTTAAGTATTATTTGAGGATTCTCAAAAGTTACTGAAAGATTAAGAGAATAACCATTAATTTGTTCTTATTATAGAGTGATGACATTAGCAGACCAAAATATTACTTCAAAACCAAAGAGTACTTCACATTCAGAATCAGGTAACAAATACTAAAACTAATCATCTTCATAATTCTGTATTTCTTTATTTTTGTGACAGTACAGCATATTTTGATAAAATTGGTAGCCGAGGAAACTGAGTGCTTTTTAGTTTGGTTGTATTTTAAGAAATAAAGATATGTGAAATTAGAATGCAGGTCTTAACTATCCCTGTAACACCCTTCATTAAGTCATTTCATAAACATTTTCTGAGTATGTACTCTGTATAAGGTGTTGCTATATTTATAGCAGTGAGGAGTGATATAAAGTCCTTGCCTCCTGAGTTTCAGTCATGGGAAAGGAACATAATCGATAAACAGATATATTGGAATTATGTGTGATGATTGAAAATAAAAATCAACATAGTACCTTGCATAATAGATACTAAATAATTTAGTTTATTATTAGGATAAACTTAACTAAACATTTCCAACCTTTTTAATTCATGCTGTCTATCAGATTGCTATTTTCATTTCCTGAATCAAGTTTTATAGCATCTGTTTTTGGGTAAACTTGAAGAATTGCTGATTTGGCTCTTAATAGGTATGTTTATATAAAGAAAAAAGTTTTTTTACATAATTGTCACTTTAAGAAATTCTCTTCATCAGTATTTTCTTTCTTTTTTTTTAAAGATTTTTTTTATTTTTATTTATTTGACAGAGATCAGAAGTAGGCAGAGAGGCAGGCAGAGAGAGAGGGGGGAAGCAGGCTCCCTGTTGAGCAGAGAGCCTGATGTGGGGCTTGATACCAGGACCCTGGGATCACGACCGGACCCAAAGGCAGAAGCTTTAACCCACTGAGCCCCCCAGGCACACCAACTTAATCAGTATTTTCTACATGCCAGGTTTTATGTTAGGAATTCTGAGTATAAAAATGATTAAAATAGTTGCTGTTCTTTTTTTTAAAGATTTTATTTATTTATTTGACAGAGAGGGAGAGAGAGAGCACAAACAGGCAGAGCAATAGGCAGAAAGAGAGGGAGAGGCAGGTTCTCCACCAAGCAAGGAGCCCAATATGGGGCTCCATCCCAGGACCCTGAGATTATGACCTGAACTGAAGGCAGACACTTAACTAACTGAGCCACCCAGGTGCCCCAATAGTGACTGTTCTGAAGGAAATTAATCAAGTGATACAAACTAAACTTGTAAAAACACACATCTTTTAAAGGAGTAGCCATCTATTACCCTAGAGGGTGAACATTAGAAGGGGGATTTATTTTATAGACCTAAGAGGGAATTTGTGAACAAGAGAAGAGAGATTATGAAAGGGAAAGTGGTAAGCATACCAAAAACAATCATGATTTTATTTAGATCTTGCCCAATAAAATATTTTCCTTTGGCAGTAGAAAATGTTTTTTATAAGGCCTAGTAGTAAGGGAAAATAGTGATTCTGAAATTATGTATGCTTTTGTATTCTTTTATGTGATTGATTGACTTGAAATTTAAAATTAAGTCGTATCTTGCTCAAGAGGTATTTTTTTACTTCCTTAATTCAACAAACCTATCTTTGTTCCAATTGTATGTCAGGTTCTTTACTAAATGTTAGAAAATAGTCTAATCATAGAGACAAATAAACAATAAATTATTTCTCAGGTAATTCCTGCTTTTTTGCAATCTTATCTACCACTATTAATGATTAAATGTGGGAGTTCCTCAAAGTTAGTTCATAGATTTTAATCTTTTTAAAATTAACCCTTGATATGTATAGGCGTCCTATAAAAAGAAGGGCTTCTGAGTTTTCTCTCATTAAAGACTCTCCTCTGAGGCTAAGACCTTTATATGCAGGTGCCTTCTAAACATCTCCCCTTGGATGTTTCAGAGATACCTCATCACACTATTCATTAATTCCATTCATTCAACAAATATTTATTAATCACCTACAGTGTGACACAAAGTATTTTAGTTGCTGGGGAACATGACGGAGACCTTGCCCTAACAGAGCTATGTTATAGCAGAGGAAGAAAGACAATAGACAGTTAAATAAATATACAAGAATGTCAGGAATAAGAGTACTAAAGGAAAATAAAGCAGGTAAAAACAGAGTGTGACTAGGGATGCTATTTTAAACATGGTAATAGGATAGGACTCTCTGAGGAGATTACATTTGTACAGAGCTTGAATGAAGTGAGAGAGTGGGTCATGTGAAAATCTGTGACAAAGCATGCTAGGCAAAGGAAAAAAAAAAAAAAAAAAAACAAGAAAAGACCAGGAGATGGAAATGAGCTCTGCATATTTGATGAATAGAAAAGAGGTTAGAATGACTGGAGCAAAATCAGTTTAAAAAAAAAGAATGACTTCAGTTGTGTTCAGGGAGAAATCAAATGGTATAATGTAGAGTCTCCTATGCCATCATAAGAAGCAGGGATTTTATTGTAAACGTGCCTAGAAACACATTTTAGGGCAAGGGGATGACATGATTAGATATATTTTGAATGATCACTCTGGCTACCATGTGGAGAATTGTCTAAAATGGCAAGTGAAAGCAAAGAGACCCTGTTAAACTATTGTGGTGGTCAGATAGTGGTATATGAGACTAAAGTGGGAGCAGTGGTCTGATTCAGAATCTATCTTAAAGCAGATATGCCAGGATTTTCTGATGTGGTTGGATGTTGCATAAGAGAGGAAAATAGAAGTTAAGGATGAGTCTAAAATTATTGGTTTTAGCAGGTGGATGAATGATGGTATCACTTCTTGAAATGGGAGCACTGGAAGACGGAGCAAGTTGGGAGACTGATTAAGAGAATTTGGTTTCAACATTAAATTTGATCTGTCTACTCATGTACTTAATATTTCACGAAATAACACAGACACAAATGTGTATGTATTGTGTAATTCTGTACATATGAAGTTCAATAACAGGCAAGAGTGTTTTATGTAGTAGAAGCAAGAATAGTGATAATCTTTGGAAAGGGAGTCCTGACTGGGAAAAAACATATAGGAAACTTCTGGGGTGTTGGAAATATTTTATATCTTGATTTGGCCAGTGACTATATAGGTGAATACATATACATTTAAGATTTGTGCCCATTACTGTGTATGTGAAGTGCTTCAGTAAAATATTAAAACATTTGGAGGGTTATTAGCCTTCAGATAGAGATGTCATGAAAGCAGTTTGTGACACAGGAGTCTGGAATTTAGGGCAGAGACAAGTTGTATCTAGATAAGTATCTAGAGTCAAGAATATAGATGAGATTACCTAGGAAGTGGAATAGAAAACAAACATGCAAAAAGAATGTAAATGGAGGGCGCCTGGGTGGCTCAGTGGGTTAAAGCCTCTGCCTTCAGCTCAGGTCATGATCCCAGGGTCCTGGGATCAAGGCCCACATCAGGCTCTCTGCTCAGCGGGAAGCCTGCCTCCTCCTCCTCTCTCTCTCCCTCTCTGCCTGCTTGTGATCTCTGTCAAATAAATAAATAAAATCTTTAAAAAAAAAAAAAAGAATGTAAATGGAACACTCCAACATTTAGAACTAACTGTAACATAAGTTACCAAGAGATTAAATAAAATGAGCATTGAAAACTGAGAACTGTCATGACCAAGACCTAACCTGGTCTTCCAGTGTCCTCCATCTTAGTTAGCAAATGTAGCTTAGCAGACCAGAAGCATGAGATCGTCCTTGACACCCTCATCTTTGTCACTTCCTTTGCTTAATGTATTACCAAATTTTGTTACCAATTTCATCTCTTACTAAACTCTCAAACCTACTACTTCTCTCTACCTTAGGAGATGAAGATGAGTGGAGTAAGTAGTCTCAAGGGTTGCCAGATTTAGCAAATAAAGATACAGTATGCTCAGTTAAATATGAATTCAGATAAACAGTGAATAATTTTTTAATATGGTATCCATTTTATTTATTTTTTAATTAACATATAATGTATTATTAGCCCCAGGGGTACAGTTAAACAGTGAATAATTTTAATATAATTATGTCATAAATATTACACATGCTTGTACTATTACACAGCAAACACTTATACTAAAAAATTATTTATCTGAAATTCAAATTTAAGTGGGTATCCTGTATTATATCTAGCAATCTTTTCACCTTTGCAGTGAGGCTGGGAATATAGAAGTATATAGGCAGGGTTCATAAAAACCAGGATTTTGTATGCTGAGTTAAGAAGTTTGAGTTTTAACTTGAATACAATGGAAAGCCTTGGAAGAATTTTTTTTTTTTTTAAGTAAAAAAATCCCAATTAAAATAGCCAAAAAAAAGGGGTGCCTGGGTGGCTCAGTGGGTTGGGCCTCTGCCTTCGGTTCAGGTCATGATCACAGGGTCCTGGGATCGAGCCCCACATCGGGCTCTCTGCTCAGCGGGGAGCCCGCTTCCTCCTCTCTCTCTGCCTACTTGTGATCTCTGTCTGTCAAATAAGTAAATAAAATTAAAAAAAAAAAAAGAAAGAGAAAAGAAAAAAAAAAGAGAGAGAGAGAGAGAAAAGCCTTGGAAGAATTTTAAGCAGATGATATTAAACTTGTGTTTTAGGTATATTATGTGGGCAGTGGACTGCAGAGAGAGCTGAAATGAAAAGCTATTGAAATAATTTGAAGAGAAATCTTGTGTTGACTTAAAGCAAGGTATTAGTGTTAAGAATAAAGAAAACCAAATTTGCAATACTCGTAGCAGTATCTTCGGCACATAACAGACTAGATATTTGTTGCCTTGGATTGAGCCTGGAGAGTAAAAAAGAAGAGAAAAGTCAGAAATAAAGAAGAGCCATAAAAGGGGCCAGAGGGAAAATGTTCATATTTGTTGTACTGATGTCCAGTAAGATAGGACAGAAAGGTTTCTGTTCATAAAGGTGGGACCTGAAACTAGATTGCTGTGGGTTTGGGAGTAAACAAGAGGAGAAGAAGTTATGTTAGTATATGTGGACAGCTCTTTGAAGAAACATGCCCATGGAGAAGAGGAGAGAAAGGATGTAACAGGAAGGAGTATGGGGTACAGATAAGTTTTTGGTAAGATGAAAGAGTCCTGACTGTATTTTAAATACTAATAGAAAATTTACAGTAAAAAGGGAGAGCCTGAAAATACAGGAGAATGGAAATGGAAGGATAGTTATTGAAGAATTATAATCACATGCAACCTTCTGTACCAAATGAAAAATATTTTACACAGAGCTTATTTACTTGTGTGAAACCTAGAGCTCTTAAAAATAAAGCCCTTTATGTAGTAAGTCAGGTTATTCAACATATATTAAGCTTTTCTTCTAAACCTATTTCAAAGACACAGTCATTAAAATCAGGGTGTTTTGTTTTTGTTTTTGTTTTTTTCCAAATTTGAGTTCTACTTTCTATACTTACAGTTAATGAGAGGTTAAATGATTAAAATATTGAAGCATCTTTTTCTTTACAGATAATGCAGCTTGTGAAGTTTTATTTGCTGAGAAAACTTACCCTTCAGCCCCTGAGAAAACAAAGAAAAAAGTAAGTGTTGAAACAGAAAAACTATATAAATCATAAATTTCATTGATGTAGGACATATTCTTAACTAACGGTTTTATAGGAGTTATTTTTCAGTTATTTAAGTCAATAATTTCAAACAGGTTTCAAACTTAGGAATTAGATTACATTACTGTTACATGAATATATACTGTAAATAAATTTAATGAAAGAGAAAGTTTACAGTTTTTCCAAATTCCTTTTGGATAATTGGATGTCTATTAAACATAAATTTAAGGTAAAAATAAGACATTCGCTATGTAGCCAGAGCAGTGTTTTCTGTTGAGGAGAATTTGTGAATTAATATGTTAGATCTAGAATCTAGAGGTCTTTGGGGGGAAATATGAACTTTATTTTGTATGTAACAGGAGCTACTCTTTGAGTGACTATTCAGTGCTAGGCATTATTCTAAGCACTTTTTATAAATCATATCTTTTTCTTATAACATTCCTACCTATGAGGTTTTTGTTTGTTTTGCTTTGTTTTCACCTATTTTATACCTAAGAAAAATGAGGTTTAGATATTAATTAGTGTGTTTGAGGAGTTTGTGGCAGGTTTTTCTGGATCTTACATCTGTATTCTTTCCACTACACTTTACTGTCAATGTATACATTGGGTAAAAAAAAAAAAATTGAAAAAGGGCAAGAGTCTCAGTAGGAAGATTCCTTAGTATGAAGTTACAGATATTTTAGGTACAAGATTGTGGTGGCTTGACAAGGATATTTTGTAGGAGAGATGGGAAATATGCATCGATTCAAGATAATTTTGCCTGTAGAGATCATGAATTGGAGATAGAAGATGAAGGAGTGAAGTGTCAAAAAAGACTTCTAGGTTTCTGTCTTCAGCAGCTTTGGTGGATAAAGGTACTATTTAGTGTGATAGGAGAGGCAGGGGGTCTGAGGGTACATGAAAATGAAAATGTTGTAAGGACCACTGGCTATAAATCTGCAGGTCAGGAAAATGGAAGATAAGTATACAGTGTTGCAGATATTTCTAAGTTTATACAAATAGATGAAAGCACCTGAGAAAGAATGAGTTTCTACAGAGTGAAGAAGAGAAAAGAGTCCAGGATCATTCCTTGGAATACTCAATAGTCAGGTAGAAAAGAGTGGACAGAGGAAAAGAGGAAAATGAACAGAATGTGTTATCATAGGAGAAGAGACAAGAATATTTACTCCTAAAAGGAGGAGTGGTTAATAATACTGAATGTTGCTTGGAATCCCAGTGTTATAAAGAACTTTGCAAATTTGGAGGACTTCCAGTTTCTGGTCTAGCACGGAAGGAACTTAGAAGTCACCACTTTGGCCTAACAAGTAAAAACCTGAACAAAGGGGCACCTGGGTCATGCAGTCAGTTGAGTGCCTGACTTTTTGTTTCTGCTTGGGTGGTGATCTTAGGATCTTGGGATTGGGCCCTGAGTTTAGCTCCTAGCTCTCTGTGGAGTCTGATTAAGACTCTCTCCCTCTATCCCCAACCCCTGTGCTTGTTCTATCTCTCAGTCTCTCTCTCTCTCTCTCTCTCTCTCTCTCTCTCTCTTAAATAAATGAATAAACCTTAAAAAAAAAAAAACCTGAACAAAGTTAAAAATCAACAAGCCTTTTTAGATATGTCAGAAAAATTATGTCATAGGCCAAAGTGCTGCACTAATACTTGGAAAGACAGGTGGATACAGAGAATCATGACTTATTGGAGCAAAAACACTTGAACAGAAACCTCCCTGAGAACCATTGCTGGGATGGGAAAACCAGTGTTGGTGTGGTTGATGAGTTGCTAGAGGCTCAGTGAAGACAATGCTGAGAGTTAAAAACTCAAGATGGACACAGTCATCAGGGGGGCTTGACACTTTTTTATCTAAAAACCTGAAGGGTTTTATCTTTAGGAAGGACCTCTATCAGATCCTCACAGTCAATATCTGAGAAAAATCCCTTCATGCTTTTGGTAATGGGAAGAGGAAAAGAACCATCTTGAAATATACTGGAATATTCTGCTCTTAACAAAGCCTTCCCTCAGAAGAATGTATTTCACCAGAGCCTAACTTGTTGGGGTTTTAGTAGAGCCTGACCTACCTTGGGGAAAGGAAATACCCAACTTCAGCCAGCTCTGCTTTTACAAATGAGGAAAGGAAATATTCCAATTCCAGCTCTCTCTAGCCTTCCACATGGAGGAATGGAAATATTCAGATACAGGTGTCTCTACGTGTCCTGTCCCACTTAAGAAGATATGGGGACTAAGAAGTACTGGCAAATTTTACCCTCCAGGTGTAAAGGCTCAACAAAAAAGACCTAATCATAGCACTATGGCTTACACCTTGCCACTACATTACTAAAGGCCTATCTACCACCGTTCCCATTACTTAGTACATCTTGTCTACCTTTTAGCAAAAAATTACAAGGCTTATTAAAAGGCAAAAACAAACAAACAAACAAAAAACACAGTTTGAAGAGACTGAATAGATATCCCCAGAGTCAGATAAAGCAGTAGTATTAGAATGATCAGACCAGAATTTTAAATAGCTATGATTAATATGCTAAGGGCATTATAGAAAAAAGTAGACAACGTGCAAAAACAGGTGAATAATATAAACAGAGAGATGGAAATTCTTTTTTTTTAATATTTTGTTATCTATTTGAGAGAGAGCAAGTAAGAGAGAGCATGAGAGGGGAGAAGGTCAGAGAGAGATGCAGACTCCCTGGGGAGCTGGGAGCTTGATGCAGGACTCAATTCTGGAAATCCGGGGTCATGACCTGAGCCAAAGGCAGTCACTTAACCAACTGAGCCACCCATGCACCTAAGAGATGGAAATTCTAAGAAAGATCAAAACAGAAATGCTAGAGATATACAAAAATACTATAGCAAGAATGAAGAATGCTTTTGATGGACTTGTTAGTAGACTGGGCATAGTGAAGAAAGTATACTTGAGTTTGAGGATATGATAGTAGAAACTTTCAAAACTGAAAAACAAAGAGAAAAAAGACTGAAAAAAAGAACAGAATATTCAAGAACTGTGGGACAACTACAAAAGGTGTGACATACACATAATTGGAATTCCAGGAAGAGAAGACACAGGAAAGGTACAGAAACAATATTTGAAGCAATAATGACTGAGAGTTTCCTAAAATTGATGTCAGATACAAAATTATAGATTCAGGAAGGTCAAAGAACACTCAGCAGGATAAGTACCCTCAAATCTACAACTCGATTTATCATATTCAAACATCTTGAAAGAAAGAAAAAAATCTTGAAAGAAGCCAGAAGGAAAAAAACACCATGCCTATAGAAGAATAAAGGTAAGAATTACAGAGCTCTCCCTAGAAACTATCATGCAAGAAAAGAGGGACATGAAATACTTAGAGTCCTGAGAGGAAAAACACCCACCAACCTAGAAATCTATACCTCATGAAATTACCCTTCAAAAATGAAGGAGAACTAAAGACTTACTTAGACAAACAAAAATTATAATTTGTCACCAGTAGGCCTGCTTTGTAAGAAATGTTAAAGGAAGTTCTCAGGGAAAAGACAATAATGTGTCAGTATAGGTTTAACGTTTCTAATAAATGTAAGACTATGATGGAGTATGTTAAATAAGGAAGATTATATATGTAGGGTCAAAGGCTATATGGGAACTCTGTATATTCTGCTCAATTTTGCTGTGAACCTCCAATTTTTCTTTAAAAATTTGTTAATTTTGGGGGCACCTTGGTGGCCCAGTGGGTTAAGCCTCTGCCTTTGGCCTGGACCATGATCTCAGGGTCCTGGGATCGAGTGCCGCATTGGGCTCTCTGCTCAGCAGGGAGCCTGCTTTCCCCTGTCTCTCTGCCTGCTGCTCTACCTACTTGTGATCTCTCTCTCTGTGTCAAATAAATAAATAAAATCTTTAAAAATTTTTAAAAAGTAAAATAAAAATTTATTAGTTTTTAAAAACTCAATTGCATTCAGAATCAAGAAGGAAACTGATGACTTTAGCAAGAATAATTTTAGTGGGCTGATGAGAGGCAAGCCAGACTGGAAGAGGTTGAAAAGTTATAGAAAAGAAGGAAATATAAAATATAAAAAGAAGTAAATTGTGACACCAACAACATGAAACATATGTGGGGGTGAAGAGTAAATGTGTAGAACATCTTTATGCAGTTAAGTTATCAGTTTAAAATGAACTGTTGTAACTATTTTGAAAGCCCTATGACAATCCGGGCACAAGTCTTTAAGAGACACACAAAAAGTAAAGAGAAAAAAATCAAAGCATATCCCTATTAAAAAAAAAATCAATTCACAAAGAAAGACAGCAAGAGAGGAAGATAAGAACAAAGGAAGTACAGAACTGTCAGAAAGCAATTAACAAAATGATGATAGTCCTTTCTATCAAATCATCAAATGATGATAGTCCTTACTATCAAGAATTACTTTAAATGTAAATGATTTAAATTTGCCATTTAAAAAATATAAAGTGGGGGAATAAAAAAAATAGCCTAACTATATGCTGCCTAAAAGAGATTCACTTAAACTTCTTTCTTTCTCTCTCCCTGTTTTCTTTCTTTCTTTCTTTCATGTAGGAGGCTTGAAACTCATGACCCTGAGATCAAGAGTCAGACACTTAACCAACTGAGCCACTCAGGTTCCCCATAGATTTGCTTAAGGTTTAAAGGCAATTAGGCTGAAAGTGAAAGGATGTAAAAATTTTTCCATGGAAGTGTAAACTAGAAGAGATCAGGAGTAGTTATATCAGACAAAATAGATTTTAAGTTGAAAGCTATAATAAGAGACAATGTTATTACATAAAAATAAGGGGCCAATTCATCAAGAAGATATAACAGTTGTAAATATATAAACATCCAATATTGAAGGACCTAAATATGTTAATCTTTAACAAGTCTGAAGGCAGAAATAGACAATGCAATAGTAATAAGATACTTCAATACCCTACTATCCAACAATTAATAGATCATCCAGACAGAAAATCATTGAGAGAATAATAGATTTGAACAACACTT